TCTCTCTCGTCTGTGTGTGTCTGTGAGTGTTTCTGTGAGTCTCGCTCCTCTGTATACAACAACAACTTACATTTATTTATATAATCGCCCTCCACGCAGGGCAGCATCTCAGAGCGCTTAACAGTGGTGGAGACTGACTCCAAGCCGGGGGGAGGGGGGAGGTGGCCATACGCACGGTCGAAGAAGAAAGTTTTCAGTTTTCTGTGCGTGTGTCTGGGTCTCTGCGATGCAGGACCTCAAGCAGGAGGTGATGAGTTCCTAGATCCTTGTGGTGTCACCCCCCCACCCCCAGTTTATGTTAACAACAACAACAAAAATTCCCCCGCAATTTTGGATAAATATTTCTGCACTTTTCTATTGGCCCAGGTTATAACTAACGCAGGTTTGTTTATAAGGCGGGGCGCTGTACGGCCCTGAAGTCAGCTTCCTGTGCGCCTGGAATGGACAACTTCTGGATCATTAGGTCTCTGATGTCAACAATAACTTGCATTTATGTAGCGCCCATCACGAGGGAGCGCTTGTCACTTTCTGTCCAAGCAATTTCAAAAAATTAAAACACTAAAAGCCAAATTATTTTTAAGGACAATTGGCCAATTCTCACCCGGATACTCAGTGAAGAATGGAAACTTGAAAATATTAAATTAAGATTTCTTTCACACAATCAACTCCCTACATTGCAACCATTACCAGACAGTTCACCGAACTGCCCTACTTTGATATTTTAATTAGGTTCTAAGAATATGGGGCTCTACTGGGAATCCACATTCCCAAAGCAAATGGAATTGCTGAATTCTGATTAACTTTCTAATACTTTCAATGTTTGACTGTAATCCAAATCTCATGGCACTATTTGAAAAGAGAAGGAAGTTTCTCCCTGTGTCCTGGCCAACAATCCCCTAAGATAAAACGTGTCATTCCCTTCATGGCCGTTTAATGGCACACTGGTGGCACAAATTGGTTACCACATTTGCCTACAAACACTCAGTATTTATACTTCGCTGTATAATCTGTGAATTGCTTTGAGAAGTCCCCTGACACGAAAGGCCAAAATCAAACACAAAGATTTAGATTATTGTTTTCCCGTCTCGCACACAACTGCAAACCACAATAACATTGATAAGCTTGGATATCTAATCTCTTTTAGTTTCTGAAATGGTCTTAAGGAAATAATTATTTGGCTTGAGGGATATGTTTCTATTTTTAAAATGAGTCTTCGTGAAAAACTTGCACAAACTGCTGCAAAACAGAAGCAACAAATCAAACCTTTTCCTTAACAGAAGTAAAATGGCTCAAAGCAAAGGACCTGTGGGTAAAAGATTTGCCAAACATGAAAGTGCAAACAAAAGTACATACAGTGATTTTTTTGTGTGGGGGAAAGACATTATTGGTGAATACAATGCTCACCATGTTTGTTAGCCAGTGCCAGCACAGGGCGTTTGAAGTTGAGCATTGTGCGAATGTGTAAAAGGTTCAGAGACGATTTCAGCAGTGCCGAACCTTCTACAGGCAAGGCTACCTTCCCATGTCAGCCAGCTGAGTGAGGCTGCCAGTTTAGTGGCAAATTACAGTCTGTGCCAAGGAGTTGTGATCACTTTGAGGCGAAGAGAAGGAGAAAAGAAAGCAAGATTGATGATTTTAGTAGATCCTTGGTGTCTTGAAACACAGCTCAAATTCACTTCGCATAGTAAACCTTTACAGAGTGGGGAATTTCACCTCGTTCAATCTCGCGTCTCCAGAGTTGACTGCGTGCTAGCATACTCTCACACCTATTTAGCGTGCTGTAATTACTTTTTAAAATGAAACAAAATAAGGCCCCCCCACCCGCAACCCCACAGAAAAATCTGCATCTGAAAATGATCAAAAGCAAGCATTCCAGCCATACTTTTTTTAAGTATGGTTTTAGTTGAGCCAAAATGAATGATCGAACAACCCTTTTAAACACAGTAAATTATCACGCGGGGAGAGGATGGAAGGGGGGGGGGGGGGGAGAGGAGAAAGAAGTACTCTCAGTGCAATGTTATATCCCAGAAAGACAACAATTTCAAACAAGTTGGGACACCGCCTTCAGGACACCTGCCACTTGAACACAACTGAACAGCTCTGTTCCTGTCAGGGATCGAGTCTTGGCTGCCATTAGGTTTCCCATCGAGTTCCTGTGCCGGGAAGGATGTCAATCCCTGATCTCAGCTCCACTCGATAGCAGCCAGTCGGAGATAGACTCGGATAAATCATCTGTGTGGACAGATGGGGCTTCCTTTGAACCAGAACAAATGGGAATCTCTCCTCTCACAGAGATCTTTTTTTAAATATAAATATATAAACAATTTTGGGGGGCTGGTTGGGGGGCGGGTGTGTGGGAAGTAATTTACATTGAATTTCCCCACCCCAAACAATGACTGGATTGTTCAAAATTCCTAGCTCTGGATTTAAAAGGAAAGTTACATCAAAAGCTTGAAAACTATTTTTTTGGGGATGGGAATCTGTAACACCCAAGATGTCCAGTAGAATGTGATTTTTTCCCAACAGAAACACAAGTCCAGCCAGTGGTAATTAACATCTCCTGAATTATGCGACACAGCAGATTTGCCCATTTAACTAATGGAGTGAATAGTTACAATCTAATTAACTTCAGATGTGTGCACATTTATACTTCTTTAAAGCCACCAATCTTATTAAGGCTTTTGTAACAGAAATAACAATGAGATGGAGGAGATTCAAAACAAACCACAAATAACCCTGCTGTGCAAGTGGAACTATTACCAAACTATTCTCTATCACTTCTGCGCCCCCACCAGCAAAAAAAAAGTTTCAGTGCACAGGATAGTCTAAGCAATGTATAATAAGCTATAGTAAGACTTACTGTATATCAGAAACAGTATATGAATAAACTGGAGACAAAGTACAAATGCAGAATTACACTAAACAGTCTTATCTTCGAATGTCTAGCTCTGGATTAAATCTTGGGGAAGTTGGCAAAATAAAAGTGTTGGTTAAGTGTGTCAATGCAATCGGCACAATTCTCATCAGCAGGTTTAAATGTTTCTGCTAAAGGTTTCTATGCTGAATGCAAGTTGTTAGCATCCTCTTGTGAAATTTCAGGCTTCCTACCGTGTGGCTATGCAAGAAGAGAGAAAGAAACTCTTGGCTAGTCCAAACTACCAGCTTTACTGCAGCAAGTAAGGTGAATACACTGGAGTCTCGGACATGCTTGTAGATTTGAATTCTGATAAAGGTTTCATTCAATCTGTAATGGTGCCCGATCTGCTTCCTTACAATTAGGTCTTGTGAGCAGCCCACGAGAGCCCTCTGCTGTGTGACCTGAGAACTGCTCAGTCTCGGAGTGGAAAACGTGCAGCGCTGGAGTAACTAACAATGCACTTCAATAACAGGTTAAGCATTAAATCTGACCATACAATACCCCTCATTTCAGCAAAGGCTATATGCCATCATCCAATTTTGTGTTCGACTGATAATTTGTCTTTTAAATGTATTATTCTCCATTTTGAGGCTGCTCTCTTGCACTCCACCATTCTTTTAATGAAAGGACAGATTATTGATTGGTTCCTAGGCCTCTGTTAAGTCTGCCTGGTAACCAGATCCTTAAAGGTATGAATGAGCAGTGTTTGGCCTCAAGAAATTGTCTCACCTCCCTGGGCATAAAACTGCATCCTACCACTCTGTGCACAAATGTGCTATGCCACACACACAGCGACTAGTGAATCACGAGTCCATTCAGTACTACTACTTTCAATACAAATATTAGATGTAATGCACATCAAATAGTCACAATGAATAGCGATAAAGAATTTAAATGCCTTGCTCTGTGCTGGGTTGGCACAAATCAGAAAGTTGGATTAAGCAGAATTGAAACCGATTCTCGCATGTACCTTGGCTGTTGGCCCACATACAAGTAGTGCTTCAACTATCCAATACTAATGTCTTTGATTGGTTCCATTGTTCAATTCCTAAAATCATTATGGGTTTCTCCAGCAGGTTGATCTGTGAGGGGCCTTGGAGCCACAGTTGTGCTGCAACTCACTCCTTTCACTGATGGGTCATAGATTTTAATCGAACACCAACTGATGGGATAAAGTCTCAGTTCACTTCTGGCTCTAAGGGTCCCATCTGAATTGAATTTCAAGCAGTCTCTCTGAGTCCCTAGTTGATGGAGGGCACAAAACTGCTCATAATTCAACACAGATTAGTCGCTTCCTGTAAACTGTCAGGCGTGGAAAATATATTTCACACTGGCGCAGTAAAAGATTGTCTTCTGAGGAGGGGATTAGTGTTGAGGCACATTGTTGAGGCTGAGGCACAGTAGTGGTATTTTGACTGAACCTGGCTTGTATAGCACCTGATCTGGAAATGCCTGATTTTGACATGAATTCCAATGCGTAAAGCTTAGTCATTTTCCAATGTTGACAACCTTCATTCACAACATCTTTTGTTTGAATCAATTATACTTTTTTTTGGCAAGTGCACTGACAACCAGAATTGTTTAACCTCAGAAGCAGCCTCTGACACCATTAGACTATAATACTTCTCTTGGCCAGATAGTATTGTACAGTATTGGCAACTTTAACACACCACAATTAAAGATTTACAGAATTGGACTAGATCATTAATCTCGCGCAAAAACAGAATACACAAAGCTTGCAGAATATTGATACTTACCTTTGCTGAGCATTCAAGTTGATTTAAAGTTATGCTTTGTATAAAAGAGAGGCTGAAATAAAGGCTCTTAATTCTCACGTGGACAAGTCAACATAATTTTTTTTCTTTTAGCTTTTACACCTTATGACACCTGTCTGAAGTGAGTTTATAACTTTCCAACAAAGAAAAATCTTTTTTTAAATACTCGTATCTCACTCTTGATAAAGATTTTAAAGGGTCTTTGGGAAGTTGCCTAAATACTGAGCAGTAATTGGAGGTATACAGTATACACTTTAATATGCATTTCATAAGAACATGCACTGGTTAGTACTGCAAAAGAAACTTACCATATTTGGGGCTCACAGATCCATTTGGGTCTTCCTGTACGTATCATTGTTTATCGTCAATCTAATCAGCCGTGCTCCATAATAATCTATGATGTAACTGGAGCCATCTGCAGGTCCGACAATCTATGTGTGGAGGGTGGGGGGGGGGGGGGGGGGGGGCGCGAGGAGAGAGAACAAAAAAGCATAGTTTCTAAAACTTCCAACAAATTATGATAAGAGTTGCACAGAATTTTTTGCTCTCAAATAACGGTTCAAAGGGCAAAGTTCAAAAACAAGGCACCATTTTGTAGAAAGCTTCACTAGACTGCACTAGAAACCGTTGTGTGGACTGTTTTAAAGCTACTTCATGAGTAAATATCACAGATTCTGGAATTCTATCAGTATAGTAATGACATACGAACATTATTTAAGTTTTGTGCATGAGGTGAGCAGATAAGGGTGGGGTTATAAGCAACTGTACTGAGAACAAACATTGCATGAATTTGATTTCAAATGTATGCATACAACCTCATTACTTTAGAATCTATTGTATCGGCAGAGGTAGTGATTCCCAGTGAGGTGGAGCTCAGTTTCTAGAAACAAATGCACTGGGCTATGAAGAGAAATGATTCACTTTGGAATTCAATGCCTCTGTAGATAATGGGGAATGAAGTGCATTACTTTAGCATTTCTATTTTCATGTTGCCATTTTTTTTTAAAAAAGGCGAGTGATTCTGATAAAACAAAATTGTCCAGGAGTGTCTTGTTAATACACCTGCTCAACAAACTCACTCATTGTCTTTGGAATCAATAACAGTGCACTACCATTTTTCATTATATCGTCCTTAGTTTCCTTTCCATTTTCCACACACATCGAATCAGTCACTCGTGTAGTCTCAGATTCTTCTTTTTTTGCCTTACTTTTAAGCAATTTGTGTTAGTTCCCCCACCCCCCACTCACTCTCCCATTCTTTCCTTTTGCTTTATTCACTTCCACAGTCCCTCCCATGTGGATACCATGCACAATACAATTTGCATTTATATAGCACCTTTCACATCGAGAGGACATCCCAACATGCTTACAATATTGGCACTAGCCATCTGCACTTCCTTAATTACAAAAACGTCCCCAGTTACAAAGGTCCCTGGAAGACAGTGAGCATAGTGGGCAGTGCATTCTACCTTACGATGCTTGTCTTTTGCAAACTGCACATGGATATGTTAACTCCAGTTATCATTTAAAAATAAGACCGCAAAAGAGGGCCTCTGGCTCGGAATCAAGAGGGAAGCTCCCATAAGTCTGAACTGTATAAATCGTACAATTGCCCAAGTTGTAAATCTGCCCCAGTCTTGTTCAAGAGTTTATAATTTATGTAAGTTTGACATAACTCATACTTTGCATAAAACCTATTAAATGTGTGGTCCCAACTGATACAACTTGTGAAGTTTACTGTAAGTTGAGTTGCGGGACCCGTAAAAGCTCACTTATCCAAAGGAACCTGGGAGAGGATGAGGGTGGCGATTTCTACAACCAACTAACAATTCTACATTTCATCTAGAGAAGGTTTATAATTGAAATGGGAGTCCTAAGTACCGTCTGTCATTGGGTAACAAAGGAGAATGCATTATTTTCCTCCAAATTAAATATAACACTTCTGCTGTTAAATGAACAGTAATAGACAGGCCTAGGGATTTAACAATAAAACCAAGACTATTTTGACTTTGTGTTCCTACAAAACCAACACAAGCTCATGCAGTGGTGTTATTTCATTGTGTACATGGCAGCTTGAATTTACTTCTCTAAACCAAATGGGGTTGTGGCCAAATTCGAGTCCCGCACACAATGTACTCGAAACCCCGGTCTACTATTAAGTCAGCGAAGATTTTGGTGGCTACCCAACCTCAAAAGCAATCACCACAATTTCAGATCCTCTTTTTTTTAAAAAACTTGACAAAAAGTCACGCCTGGGTTGCTCACTGTGAGAAGGATGGTTTCATTTAAAATGCAGCCATTAGGTAGTCGAATAAACACTCTATATTAAACATTTACTGACATCATAAATCTTACACTTGATAGAGTCTTTCAAGTCAGAAGGACATCTTCAAAGTCTTTCACAGAATCCACTGCAAAGTGTAGGGCCGAGTACCACATAAGGAAAGCATCAATTCAGCATTAATAATGATTTACGTCATATTTAAAATCAACTAGACCAGTTTTTTCATTTTTGTTGAGCATCTCCAATTAGGAATCAATCAAACAATTCAATTTGGTGAATAATGTTAATTTCACAATATTACCTAATAGTTTTTGAGAATTTCCTTGCTTTCAACCTCTTCCCCCCACCACCCATTGTCTTGAGGGGGCGGGAGGATATTCATATTCCCTCCCCCACCACCATTTGGGCACAAATGATGTAGCTCAAGTCGACACAAGGCTGACAAACAATATCTACAAACTTGTCCAAGTAGCCATTCTTCAAGTAACGCCAGGGTGTGAGGGACTGGTAAACTATTCAGCCAAGAGATGTTGGGAGTGGGGGGGGGGGGGGGCACCACAATTCAGCTTAATTGTATCCCTATCCAATATCCACACATACGCACTTTCCAACAAGGATTTCTGGATAACTTTCAACTTCTCTGGATAAGTTTCTGCTGCCAATTCGTTTCAGTCTGGATGAAGGGTTTCACCCGCAAACATCGACTGATCTTTCTCTTTCAGACGTGGAACGATCGATCTGTGATGTGTTTCTAGTTTTCTTTTCATAATTCCGGAATTCAGTTTTGCTTTTGAAACCGTTAATCAAGAATAACCTGTCCTTTGCCAAATGAACAGCCCAGGATTCACCAATTCATACCATTGGTACTCAGAGCTACGGGCCATTGGGGGAATTGTTACACCCAGTACCTAAGTCAGCAACACTTTCTTTGCAACTGAAGTTTGAGAGAGACGTGCATTATCTACTCCCCATCCGATCAACTGTAACAAACAGATTTGATGTCCCTATTTATCCATAAATGTGTGCTCAGTGCTTCATCTCAGCTCCCTGATCTGCACAGGCTAGCTGAATTTTTCCTAAAGTAAAACCCAAACTAAAATACTCTCATTAAACTTATTTGGAGGACAAAAAATATTCATTGCGCACAGAATGAAAAGAACAGCTGTATAAACATAAGCTTAGCGAACTGATGAAATCCATGGATTTCAGCTTTGTCGTTTCTGGAAATCAATTACAAATGCCATGAAGGTTTGGGTGGAGCAAAGTTTGTAGCCAACATTTAAAAAAAATCATTTTACATGGAATAGGACAGCTTATGAGCACATATTTAGATGTGAACCAGCTGTGGCTGCTATGGGAAATTTCCCACACTGCGTTAAGACGTTAAGATCTTTCCTAATGAGAATCAAAACATGAATTAAGCCCAATAAAGCAACTGTGAACTCTGGTTTATCAAAGTCAAAAGATACCTTTTCTTTTTAGTTGTTTATCTTCATAGAGGTTATTGAAAACTCTCAATGTAATGCATTGATGATAAGAAAGAAAGGTATGTGGTGAAGTGATAATAAAGTGTTTTGGTGGTCGAAATTCTGGCAGGTTTGGAATTTGTCTTAAGCGTTTGCCAATTGTGAAGATCACATTTCTATACAAGTCTGAAATATTATGTGTTCGCAAATATATTACATCCCCTACCTAATTTTTCAACCCACACTGCCCCATCTTCCAACTAATGTTATTGTCTCACACTCCTAAAATTTGCAAGAGGTTCAGAACCGGCAAAACTTGCATTATAAAAAATCAATTTCTTTGAATCTCAAATGACTCAACTAAATAGAAATGGAATGAAAAGAATGCAAGTGGCACCACCAAGGTTCGATGCATAATTTAATAATAATAATCCTTGCGTTTAATATAGAACTTCATTACATCTTCGAGATGTCTCAATGTGTTTCACAGAATATACTATACATTTTGTGGGCGAAATTGGCAGCCAATTGCACACAGGAGTGTCCCACAAACAGTCGTGGATTGAGTAACAATTTTTTTGTTGAAGGAATTATTACCCTTGGAAAAGCGATCTGCCAATCAACTAACAACTAAGTTCCTATTTACCGCTAGGTAAATAGAGGAGTGTGGAGAAAGGAAACTTGTCTAACCTTTCACCCTTCCTGGGAATCGAACCCAGGTTTCTTGCTTGTGAGGTGAGTGCTCTTACACTACAATTTTACAATGCAATTATTTAGATCCTTGTCCTCACTTTCAATGCCATCTATGGCCTTGCCCCCTCCTACCTCTCTGACCAACCTGCCCACTCCCTCCATTCATCGGGCTCCGGCCTGCTCCATGTCTCCTGCCCGACCCGCCCTACCATCGATGGCTGAACCTCTCTGCCCCCACACTCTGGAACTCCATTGCAGTTCCTTTGCCTCGCTTCCTCCCTTGCCTCCTTCAAGGTCGATCTCAAGACCCTCCTCTTCGATCGTGCATTCGGTCGCCCTCCCACCTCTCTGCCTTCCCTCACCCCCTACCCCACCCCTACCCCATGCTCAGGTCCTGACCCCTGACTGTCCAACGCCTTAGGACGTCCTCCTGACTTGAAGGGCGCTCTATAAATGGAATTTTGTTGTAGTGACGAGAGCCACTCGTCAGAGTGGCTCTCTTGTTAAAAACAATGTTATAGCTAGTTTCTGAACTTGGAGATTTAGTTAAAATGCTGACAAAAGTAATGCAAGTCTAGCTCACATTCCTTTTCCCTTTGCTTCCCCTCAGCACCACCCCAAACTGTACAACTTCATTGCCATCAATTCAGAAATCTGTGATCACCTGTGGTCATCTCGACTCAGGCAATATGGCTCTGCCAGATGGTGTGTTTGAGCGATGTCCAAAGTGCACAACGCCAGCCATTTGTACCTCTGTAATGAGGTGACTGAAACACAACAGAGTTCCCAGGGTGTACAGCACAATAATTGAATAATAATAATAATCCTTGCATTTGATACAGCCCTCATTCTTGTCTTCAAGACGTCTCAAAGTGCTTCACAGGATATACTGTAAAGTGAATTGACTGTATATTTTGTGGGCAAAAGAGTTCATATTGTGTATGGAAATGATTTTGGGGCATGTCATTCATATCAAGGAATTGCATGTTCCGACAGAATTCACGGGTTGATGCACATTTTCATTACAACTGGAGACTTTAGGTGGAGATATTAAATATTAAAATCACATTCCTTTTAATCACTTGACAGAACCTCTTTATGTGAAACCATCAAACGCAAATTGATTGATGCTGAATGCACTCTTGTGTGTCAACAAAAGCTCTGGTATTGAATCCATATTTTAATACACTTGCACAAAGATTTAAAATAAGACTGGGAACTTCACTGACAGCACTTTGTAAAGAGAGCATCCAGGTGCACAAAGCTTAAAGCTATATAATTTTTAACAAAAAAAGTCAAATCACAATCTGCGCGCGCACACACACTGCATACACACTCTGCACACACACACACACACACACACACATAGCGCACATTAGACACACAGCACGCATACGCATTGCGCCCACTGCACACATACTGAGCACACACACTACGCACACACATCACTCAACACGAAAGGTTGTAACCAGGTTGGCAGATCTCCTAAGCTGATGTGATGCTATCAACCCACCTGCACGGAGATAAGAATGAAATCGATAAGGCTGCCAATCCCACAAAATCCAACTGTGCAGAACTTCAACAAGCCTGGAAAGAAAACGACAACACAAATTTAATTCAATCCGAGTGCATTATCACCATCAGGATCATAAACGTAGGCATGCATGAAGCAAATGTGGCTGAAGATTAGCAAACATTTCATCACTTTTTCCAATTAAATGCTGCATTTACTTTGTTGTGCTCCTCAGAAAATGTTAGAACTGCATTTTAATATACTTTGTTGAATGTCTACAGGAGCAATTAAGCAAATTAGAATGTTATGTTTAGTAAAATAATGAATGTTTGCCCCACTGTCTCACATTTGGCTTTCTGCTGTGTAAACTGCTGCAATTTATACCAGAAGTGATCGATGCTGTGTACTCTACACAGGTAAAATAGATCCATAGCATAGGACAAACTAAAAAAAGCACGTAGTTCATGAAGCTGAAGGCAGACTGTAACAAAAAGTCAAGAGGTAATTAGATATCTGTTCAGTGAAGATCTCAATGGAGGTGCATACTTCATAATAATCCTTATATTTTATACAGCATCTTTCATGTCCGGGAGGTGTGGGGGGGGGGGGGGGGACACATCCTAAAGTGCTACAGTGCAGTTTTATGGGTAAATGCAAGGTGCGACTTGAATGTTGATAGAATTATTTTTTTCTTTCTCACTTTGGACAGATAGACCTTGTGGCTTTTTCATTCCTGTACAGACCACAGATCACTCCACTGAGAACTACACCCCATCCCACCCACTTCATGTAGTCAAGTTTCTTTTTGGGGGGAGGGGGTGGAGAGAGAGGGGAATGTTCTACAATCTGGTAAAATATACATTTTCACACATTTTTGGGGGAACGTGACAAACATGGCCGACTTTCTAGGTCGTTAGGTACCACAGGCGTGGCTTTCCGCACGCTGTGCTTACTATGCACAGAAGTGCTGCTAATTTCATTGCCGGTGTCTTGCACGTATGAGCCTATGGAGAAAGTGGACCATTTTGTTGTCACCAAAATCAATTTTTTAAAAAAAACTGGCAGTATTATCCATCCGAGCAAAATCAGAAAAAAATTAGCTTCTACCATCTCAGCACACAATTTATCACTCAAACACTTGATTAGTCTCTTGACAAAAGGCCAAGGAAAGGCAATATTGATTTTATAAATACTATTTCTATTTGTTAACCATCTGGTTAAGGTTGATATTACATTAATAAAAGTGATGTTTGAGTCATACTGTAATCTTAGAATCACAGCGCTCAAGGTGAAAATGCATAGAACAGTTGGTCAGTGTAGGAACTTGGGAGATAATATTTGAAAACACTTCCCAGTGTTCTTTTGACATGTGAGGTATTTTTACACAGATCCTTTGTTTATATCAGGTGGGAGGGGAAGGAACTAGTCTTCATAAGAAAAAAAATTGTGAATGTAACACTAATTTTCCAAGGTATACAAAGAGTGGTAGAACACATCAAACACCACTGACATTAAATAGAAACTGAATCTGAAGCTATTGTTCGTCTCTACAGTGTTGAAAGATTATGCCTATACACAAGAATGCTTTGTACTGAACATCTTCAAGAACGTAAAGCTTACAGTAGATACTTTATGGCCTCAGGGACAAATTCCTCTCCTTGTCACAGAGAGATTGTTATTTTGTCTTTTACATACCCTCTACAAAGAAGCCAATGAGGTTGCCAAACTGGGCTCTTTGGTCTTCTGACTGTGCTTTCTGACTAAACAACTCATTGCCCATTAAGAAAAATGCCAGCATTCTCTTCTGTAATGGAGAAAAGCCTGAGTCTGGTTTTCAGCCAGGCAGGCGTGTGCAGGACAATCCCTGGCACCAACATCAAGAGCATCTGTAGCCAGTTGCTGCAATAAAATGGGTGTGTCCAGAGAAGCTTAAACTATTCTAATGCCCCCAATTAAAGAAAATCTGATGATTAACTTTTATCCTGTAACTTTTATCTTTATTGTGGATCCTGTAGCGAATTGGTTAGAGCACTCGCCTCACAAGCAAGAGAACCCGGGTTCGATTCCCAGGGAGCTCAAAACCTTATGAAAGTTTCCTTAGTCCGCACGTCTCTGTTTACCTAGCAGTAATTAGGAACCTGGTTATTAGTCAATTAGGGGATCGCTTTTCCAGGAGTAATAATCTCTTCAAATAATAAATATAAATAAAAGGTAATAATTTGATCATTTAATCCAAATGTTCGTGGGACACAGCTGTTCGCAATTGGCGGCTGCTTTTTGCCTCCAAAATATAAGGGTCAATTCATTTTACAGCATATTCTGTGAAGAGCTTTGAGATATCTCAAAGACATGATAAGATGCTGTATCAAATACAATAATTATTATTATTATAATGGAACAGAGAATCCAATAGACATGATGGGAATAAAAGTGATAACTGCCAATGTTGTCGAACTGAGGAATGGAGGAAGGTTGTTTGCCAAGATCAGAAGCTCAGGGTTAGTAGGAGAGAAGAAAAATAAATCAGCTTTCTCTGGAAGAAAGTGAGCAACTGTGCTGGAAAGAAGCATTCACAGCAATGTTGAGACATGTTTGGCCAGGGACCAGAAGAAACGATTGCTGGAGGGGGAGGAAGACAACATTTGATGCTTCTTTTCAATACAGCTGACTTAATATCATAATGAGAAAGATTGCAAACTGCAATCATTCCAGCACACCCGCTCTTGTGGTTTTGGAAAACAAAAGTGGCTTTATGTACAGTACATGTTTGCTCATGCTTGATTTATAATACGCTTTTCATAGTTCTTCACATGTAGTTGGCTTGAGATCAAGCACATTGGAAATGCACTTAGCACACATCGATAACATACAACTTACTCAGCTTCTAAAATCTAAATTTTACAGCTTTAGTGCTCACCTCAGTTGACCTAAGCAATACATTACAAAGCTTAGTTTTAAAGTGGCCATGTACAACTACCAGATGTTAACATAGCAGAACTAGAAAAGCAATTATTCAAATGTTATGCCTAAACAGCATACAAACAGGCCATTTGGCACATCATGCTTCTGTCTGTGTACACCAATAACATACTATTTTACTCAGCTTTTCTTTTGCTTTATTTTACAATGAGGCACCTCGTCACATCCCACTCTCTTGTTCTCTCTCACACCCATTAAAATTCCTCTTTTTCAAGCACTTATGTAAGTTTCCTTTTCGAAAGAATTGATGCATTCTCCCTCCACAAGGGTTTGTAAATTCTATTTAAAGAATTTTTTCTAACCTTTTGTGATCATCGTACAATGTATGCTCCAGTTAAAGTCTAGTTTCAAACCAGATTTGGCCTTTCTCTCTTCTCCCTCTCCTCCTAATTAATGCATCTCAGTGTGATGATACCCTGAAATATATTGCAGTGGAATTTATACATACATTTGATTTTCTTATGGGATAGAAATTTCCAAAATTCACTGCCACAAATTTCAAACTAATGCGAAAAACAAAACAGATTCCCAGACTCCATAACCAAGCATACAATGGGATAAACAATACACAAAATATTGCAGATGCTGGAAATCTGGAGACAAAAACAGAAGTCACTGGGAACTCAGCAGACGAAGGGTCGTGGACCCGAAACGTTGACTCACTTTCCTTTCTCCATAGATGCTGCCTGACCTGCTGAGTGTTCCCAGCGACTTTTGTTTTTGTTTTCATCCAATGGAATAACCCTGAAAATACTTATCTTTTGATCAGCAACCTTAAAATCTATATGCACACCAATCTTCTGCTTACTTTGATAAAGAATGTACTAAGAATATTTGTTGGAAAGACTTAAGACACACTTACCCAATGCTGGATATCCCAAGTAGAATCTGTCCGCTCCTAACCATCCAAGGAACAAGGAAAGAGCCACGGCCACTTTGTACGAGTAATTAGTTCTTTATTAAAAAAAGTTAAAAAAAAATTAGTAGCAGTATTTTATAATTTTTCATTTTAATCTTTAGGATGAAACATTAAAGCAGAGGTCCCATCTGCATGTTTAGCTGGATGTTAAAGATCCCAAGGATACTATTTGAAGAATGGAATTTCTCTCCAATGCTCCAGATCAATTAGTCATGCCCATTTGTGGGACTGTGCTATAAGAAAATTGGCTGTTCCTCTTTACTACAAATACAGTTATTACACTAAAAAAAACTGAGAAGTGATTTGAGATCTTTAGACATTTTAGGACACTTTGACATGTTCAAATTCACGCAATGTCATCATACTTGGCGCAAGCAAAAACCATAGTACTGTTGGGTACGCTGAGTATTCAATACATTCTGTTACAGCTAACCTGATTTTACAACAACAGCTGCATTTATATAGCACCTTTCACTTTGGGAGGACATCCGAAGGTGCTGGACAGGGAAGGGTTTGCACAAGAGCTGACGATTGGAATCAAGAGGGGTGGAGAATTTGGTTGCAAAATGCTTCGCTGCAACAACACAAACTAAGATCTGCAAGAAAGTCCCCTCTGTGTGATTTCTCAGCCACTGGTTTCCAGAAAAGCACTGATGGAAACTTGGGAGCAGGACAGCCAGAGGGAGTTTGAAATTGAGGTTCATGAAATAAATTAAGGTTCAATCGAGTGAGTGTAGCTCAGTGGTAAAGCACTCGCCTCGCAAGCGAGAGGATCTGGGATCAATTCCCAGCAGGGCAAAACGTTGGGCAAGTTTCCTTACTCCACACGCCTCTGTTTATCTAGCAGCAAGTAGGAACCCGGTTATTAGTCGATTGGCGGATCATTTTTCCTTCAAAATAAATTAAAATAATTTGGTCTCTCAATCCATGACTGTGTGTGCAATTGACTGCCACGTTTTGCCCACAAAATTTACAGTATATCCTGTGAAGCGCTTTGAGACGTCTCGAAGACGTGATAAGGCGCTGTATCAAATGAAAGAATTATTATTATTAGAGAAGCAGCAATGGTGCTCAGCAACCAATTTCTAAAATGGTGGCCAACACAAAGCACGTGCAGTGATCGCATTTCAATCTTTGCAGCATTTACACGTTATAAAAAATCTCCATTGTCCTCCCTCCCTCTATTCTTCAGAAGAAATTCGATTATATTGCCTTTGTAGTTTCACCAATCCTGGTCACTCTCTAGTACCCTGTCTAAAGTAGCCATTTGGCATATGTGAGCCTTGGGTATTAAATCTTAGCAGCTTATATGACCACTGGAGCCAAACCAACTCTCTTCTCAAACAACTTCCACAATGGTACCAGGCGTGGGCTCACTAGCCAATTTTCTCCTCTCCCAATGAGATGTTGAAGAGGAATTAAGACAGTTGTACAAATAGAGTTATGAGGAGCGATGTCTCAGTTTCTTGCTGAAACATTGGTGTTAATTTCAAGGTATGGCAATGCAGTAAAACTAACATAAGTTGTATCAGTCGGAACCATAACATTTAGTATGCAAGTTGCACAAACTTGTACAAGGCGTATAAAATCTGATTCAATCAATAATCTACACTGTGCATGTGTCCTTCAATGCAGCTGGCAAGTGCACACGCATCGACGGATCAGGACTTCATTTTCCGCGGTTTCATTCAGCCCCGGGAGCAGTGTTACGGGTGAGGTGATGTTTTATAAAATACGACTAGTGCAAAGAAATCTAGTGATTTTTGGTAGGAAACTGAACGGGACTCAGGTGCATGTATGACTGAGGCGATTGTACGATTTATAAAGATAAAACTTACGTGCGTTTTACTGTACAAATTATGGTAGGAAGTAGTCTGCAAAATACAGTGAATTGGAAATGGAGACTTTTCCTTTAAAAAAAATGTACGCACTGCAATTTTAAATCTTGGCCAAGTGTCTTGAACCATCTTATGCTGTTATACAGATAATTTATAAAGTTTACAATACTCTTGGGGACAGCAGAAGCCACATCATCTTTTGTGGCTGTTATTTGAGAATCATATGACTTTCTGTAACGATTGTTACATGACCAAAAAGCATAAGCTTTGATTTTTTTGATTATGAAACAAGCTGAAACTTTACAGGGCTATGTGTCACTCAATGTATATTTAATTAGAATAACGTTTCACCACGAAAGATAAATGCGATACAATAGCAGTATTATTTATTGCCACCTGCTTTTGAACCTGAAATCAAACACTAGCTTCCAACTTTTTTTTCCAGCATTCTTAACCTTTTGACCAGCTCTGCAGTCAGCTGTATCTAGGGCTCCAACAGCTCAATTTTACCTTTTCAGAATGCGATGGTTGCCAGGGACAGCAGGTCGAAGCTCCAGTGCATTATGCCGTAGAATCGTAAAACCAGGATTGTGCCCACAATTACCCACACAGTGAGCTCCCAATCTCAATCATGCCACAGCAGGAAAATGCTGAGCAGATGCCAAGCGCTTCTGCACAACGTGGGAGAGAAACAAAATCTCCCGGTATTGCTACTATGAAGGCCGGTCGGTCACAGAGCAGCATTGTCAGAGGCCTGGGAACAGGTCTCCAGCCCATCCTCCTGCTGGGGATGACTGCGTGTGGGGCAAGGAGATGTAGAAATGGGGGGTAATATAACAAAACCAATTACAAAAATAAATCCTTACTTAAAAACGTTTTCAAAATAGCAGCTGAGCGTTTCAAAACAGAGCTGAAAGCTGCCTCGTAGTAAGGTACTAAGAATTGAATGCTTCCTCTCTTGCCTATAACGAGCTCCAAAAAATAGTATAACCATTTGTTATGCTGAATACAATATTTGACAGATTACTGAAATATAATTTGAATCTAATTTGTTAGGACAACCTTCAGAATTTGTGTGCAGCTGTTGACTTATCAAATTGAATTGTTTTTCTGGCGCGATACACTCTCCATTTGCCAAAGTGCATTATTACCCACCTTTGTAATGACATTTTGAGATATGACTTTTTTTAAAACTTCACTGTAGTCTTTTTGTGTGCCACTGTCTGAAAGGATGCCTGAAAGGGGGGTGGAAGCAGATTAGATAGTAGCTTTCAAAAGGGAATGATGTGCATAATGTGCCGAATGGCCTCGTTCTGAGCTATTCTATTCTATGATTCTAGTCAACACCTTCCTTGTTAAAGGAACCCAGATTGAGGATTGCACAAGAAGTATTGATAAATAAACCAATGACCCCAATTGAGGCTTTTTAAAGGTTTTTAAAAGATCGATCTGACTTATTGATGCTACTTTTTGTCAAGTGAGATACCTGTGCACAAATACAAGAGCAGGATAGATGCACATGTCACTGTTCATCATGTTATAAACCCTATTGTAACATTTCAATGCATCATAACACCACAACACTCCATGTTATTGAGAAGCTGGTTTAAAAGTAATCTATTGAAACTGCTTATTGTTACCAGTGTAATTTGGCAAAGCGGGAGATTAGGAATTGGAATCAAAGGCAATGGCATGCAGCCTCCCGTATTTTCATCAATAACTTAAAAATCTCTCTTTTATGGAACTTTAAGGGCTTTCAGGCTCAATGATTTTCTTCATTTGAACGGAGACAAAGTCTGATTTAAGCTTTATTTTCTGAATCAACAACAAGATCCAAAAAGTCAGCTTCAGCTGTGTTGACAATGAAATGGAGTAATTCTTGACCCAAACACCAGACAGCTGGAGCTTGTGACTCATTCCAAGCAATTATGTAAGCATGAGATTAAAAACTCAAAGCAATCGGTTTCCAACTACAGACACCTGCCAGCCAACTAACAATCTACATTCAATTTAATGATGCACTTTTATAACAGGACTTCTGTGGAGCGTATATTCTCTGTTTAATTAGCTGAGTGACGATTGTCAGATTTCCTTTGTCTTCTGACTATTCCTGAACACACTGACTTGTGCCAGGGAATAATTATAGCGTTACCCAAGTGGCCATTCAAGTGTGAGGCTGGGTTTCAGCAGGCGATCTGACTGTGGAAGGTATCAGAGACAATCCTGGTCCATCAACACTGAATCCATGGGTACTCACCCCCACATAATACCTTCCAGTGAGGGAAGGGGGAACTGGATGGTGATCAAGAAGGATCCTGGTTCTTCAATTGAGAGATATCAATGCTAATTATTGAGCCCAGAATTGTATTGTCACAGCTGAGATGATTTAACCCAGCACACACCAGGGATCCAATCTTCAGCTGCCAGATTTTGTTTGGCTCAATTTCCAAGGGGAACAATGCTGGGCAGAGCCATTTGGGGGGAGCTCAACTGTCCAGTGTTCAGATACACTCGCTTTCCTATCTTTGGCATTATAACTTTTAAATAGAGAAATTTTCAAACTAGAGGTGAATGTCTCAACTCAGACCAAACTTTGAGTGTATAAGACTTTCAAACCGAAATGTGAAATTACCTGAAAGATTCAAAAGTCTAAAGACAAGGATAATAAAAAAAATCTGTTGATACACTTAGGTAAATCTACTGTTACTACTCAATCTAATTGCCAAATTTACACTGCTTGATTTCTGTACCTAACAATGAAATGAACAAATGGTGTTCAGCACCTTAAACCGTTACAACTTGGGTAATAGTGTAATGTGGCTGAATGTAACTCATTAAGTCACTGAACTCGTAATGGCAGTAGAGGAAGCAACATAATACTTAGCTATTATTAAAAGAACTTTATCTTTTGAACACAACGCTATTTGAGAACGATACATGTGGACAGTTTATCTCATCTTCAGAGGAAGAAAGTCTGTGTGGAAGAAAAATAACTTTCTGTTCAAAGCAATCCAGATTTATGTATAGCTAGATTTATATATAAAAATGTTTTACTCATAGAAATGAACCTTTACCTTTCTTCCCATCTCAGTTTTTGTAGTGGTGAGTGGGTGGGGGTTGGGAAGAGGTTAAAACGAGAGCCAATTCAGAACATTGCATCAGCTCCCAGGGCAGTGGTCTCGCTCAAGCTCCCATCCAATTGCAAAGCTTAAGACATGATGATATCTAATGGTATGATATCTAACTTTACTGTTCTGCCCTTTTCTCTCAAGCAGCAACAGAAATTTGCCAGACGTTGTTAACCATTGATATAAATGCTTTAATCAACACTAGAGTGAAAGTCACTCAACCATGTAAAACATTAACATTTCAGCAAGACACATAAAAAAGCAGTGATGTTAAGTTGGGAGTTAAAACAGCAATTCTGGATTAATCCCTGGTTTCTTTACACACACACAGATAAGGAACAGTATAATTACTTACACTTAAATACTTACACATTACGGCATGATATAGGTTTATAGAAGCCCACTTCTTTTCCACTGAAAGTGCTCACAACTCCATTATAATTTTTACAGGTAATATTTGGAGCTGGTGTACAAGCAACTGGAAATAAAGCCAAAAGGAAACCATACATTAGAACTGAATGGAAGACAACTTTAAATATTCATAAACAGAGTAGTCAATATCATTTTCTCATTAACTACATGGATGGTTTACTTTTCCCAAAGCATCTCAAAGCATTGCTTCAAATGCGGTACAACCAAGTGCTTTCAGACTGAAGCGGATTTGGTGAAGCATCAGTTAATAACAAAGTAATTGATTGCAGTGATAACTTGTAATTAATCCTAGCGCCTTGGGACGTCCTCCCGACATGGAAGGCAGGCACTATATAAACGCAATTTATTGTTGTTGTTATAATATTCCAAAACATTTGCTCATATATTATTAATTTCTGAACAAAAACAATTTGCATTTATATAGCACCCTTCATGAGTAGCAGCTTGAAGTGCTTAACCAAACTATATTTTGGTTATATCACTAATTCACATATCTTTATTTAAACTTCAACAGTTACAATTTGAGAGAAGTGTGTGTAGCCATTTATTCTACTTCCTCGTTTCCTGCATAAACGTGGAACTCTCTTTACAAACTTATTCCCCCAATCTTATTCTCCCCCAATAACACTGAGATAACTTAGCATTTCTACATTATTTCCATTAGTAGGATATGCACATAGTAGCTTTGGTAATGAACAAAATAATGGTAATCTCAAACAGAAATGATATGCCTCAAGTTAATTTTGGGGTATTAAAATTAAAACACAACTCATCAACTCAGCAGGCGGAGGCCCCTACAGAGAACACTCAATAAAACCAAAACAGATTAATCCGTAAATGCAAAAACTACCAAAGCGACAAAATAAAGATAAACCGAATATATAATGATTCAAAATAAAATCTGGAACAAACAACACAGACTGACTGAGCGCCCTCCCCTGATTGGCCAGACCGGTTGCCAGGCAGAGGCTGAGGCCCTGGTAACCGTCTCCTGATTGGCTCGGGGCCTGTCCGTCACTTGTATTTGCTCTTCCGACACTGAATCATACATTAATAATAATAATCCTTGCATTTCATGTAGCGCTTTTCACGTCTTCGAGACGTCCCAAAGCGCTTCACGGAATATACTGTAATTACAGCACAGAAGGAGGCCATTCGGCCCATCGCGCCTGTGACAGCTCTTTGGAAGAGCTGCCCAATCAGTCCCACTCCCCCGCTCGTTCCCCATATCCCTGCAATATTTTCCTTTTCAAGTACCCATCTAATTCCCTTTTGAAAGTTGTGATTTAATCTGTTTCCACCGAACCTTTCAGACCATTGTGGTATGCAGGCGGGGGGATGAAATCAGCCCCCTGGGTCAGGGGGTGCCAGTTGGACCACTCTGATCTATAGTCTAAGATGATGCTCCAATGTAGTCCCAGGGGGGTACTGCATTGTCAGAGGTGCCATCCTTCGGATGAGCCGTTAAACCAATGTCCCATCTGCTGTTTCAAGTGGATGTTAAAGATCCCATGGCACTAATGAAGAGAGTGTCCGGCCAACAATCTCCCAAATATAATTGGGTCACTTACTCAATGGTTGTTTGTGAGACATTGCTGTTTGCGAAATTAGCTGCTGCATTTCATCCACAAAATACACAAGCAATCTACTTTACAATATATTCTGTAAAGCACTTTGAGACATTTCAACGTGATAAGATAGATACTATATCAAATGCAAGGATTATTGTTATTAAGAGGGTCTCGGATATCGAGAATTGAAATATCTCAAAGCGCTTCACAAAACACTATATCAAAAGATTATTATTGTAATATAGGTCCCAGGTTAGACAAGTCAGTCATGAGTCTTATTCCTAACTCAGATAGAGACTGAGAGTGCGACAGGCGGGGAGAGTGGGACAGGCGCGGAGAGGGACATCAATATTTTTTACTGATATGAAAATCAGAGGCTAACATGCAACATGACCACAAAATACAGTGTGAATTCACTTTACAGTATATTCTGCGAAGCGCTTTGAGACGTCTCAATGATGTGGTAAAGCTCTATATCAAATGGAAGGATTATTATTATTACTTAATCTTCATGACGTAAATTGCAAGAAAACAGACTGTACCATAGGCTGTGTAATTTGTGCAGTTTTCTGGTTCCTGCGTTGTCTCACTTATATCAGGGCTATCACATTTATATGTTATCGAGGAAAAATTAAGGAAATCTTTTAAAAACACATAAGTGAAAGCTATTTATGTTACATACTTACAATAACAATTCATATTCTGTGTTTAAATATATATTGGGCTCATCAATTCTAAAGGCCTATCAAAAGAAACGTTACACTGTCAAAGCTAAAAAAAAAAATTCCCACCAAAAGTTGCAACTCTATGGATAACGATAGGTTCAGGTGAAGAAGTCCATTTAGTCTCAACATTCCAGAATATCGATCCCACTGTCCTCACAATAGTGTCTCTCTGTGTCCCTCAGTCTGTCCCTGTCTGACCCATCTGTGTCCTCTCTCTGTCCGTCTGTCCCGCTCGCTGTCTGTCCCTTCTAGTCTCTCTCTATCTGTCTGTTACTCTCAGGCTCTGTCTGTCCTTCTGTCCCTCTCTCTGTCCGTCTGTGTGTCTGTCCCTCTCTCTGTCTGTCTATTCCTCTCTGTCTGTCTGTGTGTTTATCCCTCTCTCTCTCTGTGTGTGTCCCCTCTCTGTCTGTCTGTCCCTCTCTCTGTCTGTCTGTCCCTCTCTCTGTCTGTCTGTCCCTCTGGCTGTGTGTGTGTCCGTCCCTCTCTCTGTCTGTCTGTTCCTCTCTCTGTCTGTGTGTCTGTCCCTCTCTCTGTCTGTCTGTGCGTCTGTCCCTCTCTCTGTCTGTCTGTTTCTCTCTCTGTCTGTCTGTCCCCCTTAGTCTCTCTCTCTCTCTGTGTGTCTGTCCCCCTCTGTCTGTCTGTCCCTCTGTGTGTCTGTCCCTCTCTGTCTCTCTGTGTGTCTGTCCCTCTCTTTGTCTCTGTGTGTGTCTGTCCCTCTCTGTCTCTCTGTGTGTCTGTCCCTCTCTCTCTGTCTCTGTGTGTCTGTCCCTCTCTCTCTCTGTCTCTCTGTGTGTCTGTCCCTCTCTCTCTGTCTCTCTGTGTGTCTGTCCCTCTCTCTGTGTGTCTGTCCCCCTCTCTCTGTGTGTCTGTCCCTCTCTCTCTGTGTGTCTGTCCCTCTCTCTCTCTGTGTGTCTGTCCCTCTCTGTCTCTCTGTGTATGTCCCTCTCTCTCTGTGTCTGTCCCTCTCTCTCTCTCTCTGTGTGTCTGTCCCTCTCTCTGACTCTCTGTGTATGTCCCTCTCTCTGTCTGTCTGTGTGTCTGTCCCTCTCTCTCTCTCTGTGTCTGTCCCTCTCTCTGACTCTCTGTGTCTGTCCCTCTCTCTCTCTGTGTGTCTGTCCCTCTCTCTCTGTCTCTCTGTCTCTCTGTCCCTCTCTCTGTCTGTCTGTGCCTCTCTCTGTCTCTCTGTGTGTCTGTCCCTCTCTCTGTCTCTCTGTCCCTCTCTCTGTCTGTCCCTCTCTCTGTCTCTCTGTCCCTCTCTCTGTCTGTCCCAGTGTCTGGCCGGGGGGAGGCTCGGGCCTTCACCCCGCGGCAGTGGAGGCTGAGAGGCCTGACGCCGCTCAGCAGAGAAAACACAGAAAATCACAAAGGATATTGTCCCATGAGGAGCTGGTCACAGCGCTGCACACCCTCGGCCCGAGCGGCCTGAGCGCCGCCCGTGAGCAGCAGCAGCAGCGGGACAGCGGCGGCGAGAGGCGGGAGGAGCCCGCGCTGCCCGGGCAGCGCCATCTTAGCTACGTCACGACCCCCCGCCCCCAGAGCCGTCAATCACCTACGCCCCACCCCCAGTGACGTCAATCACCCAGGTCCCGCCCCAGTGACGTCAATCACTCCGGCCCCCGCCCCGAGCCGTCAATCATTCCCGCCCCGCCCCCTCAGAGCTGTCAATCACCTCAACCCCAAGGTCATGGACAGACAGGACCCGCCCCCAGAAGAGCTGTCAATCAATCAGACAGCAGCTGCTCAGGTGTCAATCACCTGCCCCCCCCCCCCCCCCCCCCCCCGCACCTTGGGATCCTGAGTGAAGGCGCTCAGTAAATACACCTTCTGATCTCTGTCCCTCTGTGTGTCTGTCTCCCCAATCCCACCCTTTCCACCCTCCTAACACCCTCCCCCCACCCTCCCAACACCATCCCCCTCGCACACTACCCCCCCCCCCCCCACTGGGGTGCAGGGTGCGTCCCTCCACACACACACACACAGAGGGAGAGAGTGCACCTTTCATCGCCAGGATGGGGAGGTTCCCTTGTGGGGAGGGCACCGTTCTGACGAAGGGTCGTGGACCCAAAACCTCTCCTTTCTCCACAGATGCTGCCTGACCTGCTGAGCGTTCCCGGCGACGTCCGTTTTTGTTGTTGTGGGGAGATTTCTATGTTTTTTAGGTGGGATGCATGGAACTGTGAGATTCGGACACTTCAGGAGCACAGCGAAGGGTTGCTGCCGGCATTTGGCTGACTGGCCAACCCAAAAAACCTCTGCCCCAAGTCAGACCTTTTTTGTCAGATGCTTTTTCTCTCCCTCTCTTGGAGTTCTGGTTCTCTCCTTTTTCTCTCTCTCATATCAGTTTCTCTGTGTCTGCCTCAGGTCAATTTTTCTCTTTGTTTGTTTGTCCTACATCACTCAACAACAGCAACAACAAGATTGCATTTATAGAGCGCCTTTCACGTCGGGAGGACATCCCAAGGCGCTGTATGTACAGTTGGGTCGGGTCTCTCACTCTCTCTGTATATCTGTCCTGAGTCAGTCTCCTCTCTTTCTGTCCCATGAAAGGAACGTCCTCCTGATGTAAAAGGCACTATAAAAGTGTCATTTGCTGTTCTCCATCAGTCTTCTTTTCCCTGGGTCAGTCGCTCTCTCTCTCTGTGTCCATGTGTCCTCGGTCACTTTCTTTTTCTCTCTCTGACCTGGGTCAGTCTCTCTCTCTCTCTCTCTTTCTCTGTCCCGGGTCAGTCTCTCTCCTCTCTCTCTCTGGCCCGGGTCAGTCTCTCTCTCTCTCTCTCTCTCTGGCCCGGGTCAGTCTCTCTCTCTCTCTCTTTGTCCCGGGTCAGTCTCTCCCTCTCTGTTCCGGATCAGTTTCTCTCTCTCTGTCCTGGGTCAGTCTCTCGCTCTCTCTGACCCGGGTCAGTCTCTCTCTCTCTCTGGCCCGGGTCAGTCTCTCCCTCTCTCTCTCTATCCGGGTCAGTCTCTCTCTTTCTCTCTGTCCCGGGTCAGTCTCTCTCTCTCTCTCTCTCTCTCTGGCCTGGGTCAGTCTCTCTCTCTCTCTGTCCCGGGTCAGTCCCCCTCTCTCTCTCTCTGGCCCGAGTCAGTCCCCCTCTCTCTGGCCCGGGTCAGTCCCCCTCTCTCTCTCTCTCTGGCCCGGGTCAGTCGCCCTCTCTCTCTCTCTGTCCCGGGTCAGTCCCTCTCTCTCTCTCTCTCTCTCTGGCCCGGGTCAGTCCCCCTCTCTCTCTGGCCCGGGTCAGTCCCCCTCTCTCTCTCTCTCTCTGGCCCGGGTCAGTCCCCCTCTCTCTCTCTCTGGCCCGGGTCAGTCCACCTCTCTCTCTCTCTCTGGCCCGGGTCAGTCGCCCTCCCTCTCTCTCTGGCCCGGTTCAGTCCCTCTCTCTCTCTCTGGCCCGGGTCAGTCCCCCTCTCTCTCTCTCCCCCTCTGACCCGGGTCAGTCCCCCTCTCTCTCTCTGGCCCGGGTCAGTCCCCCCCTCTCTCTCTGGCCCGGGTCAGTCCCCCTCCCCCTCTGGCCCGGGTCAGTCCCCCCCCCCCCCTGTGGCCCGGGTCAGTCCCCCCCCCCCTGTGGCCCGGGTCAGTCCCCCCCCCCCTGTGGCCCGGGTCAGTCCCCCCCCCTGTGGCCCGGGTCAGTCCCCCCCCTGTGGCCCGGGTCAGTCCCCCCCCCCTGTGGCCCGGGTCAGTCCCCCCCCCTGTGGCCCGGGTCAGTCCCCCCCTGTGGCCCGGGTCAGTCCCCCCTGTGGCCCGGGTCAGTCCCCCCCCCCCCCCTGTGGCCCGGGTCAGTCCCCCCCCCCTGTGGCCCGGGTCAGTCCCCCTGTGGCCCGGGTCAGTCCCCCCTGTGGCCCGGGCCAGTCCCCCCCCCCCTGTGGCCCGGGTCAGTCCCCCCCCCCCTGTGGCCCGGGTCAGTCCCCCCCCCCTGTGGCCCGGGTCAGTCCCCTCCCCCCCTGTGGCCCGGGTCAGTCCCCCCTGTGGCCCGGGTCAGTCCCCCCCTGTGGCCCGGGTCAGTCCCCCCCTCCCCCTGTGGCCCGGGTCAGTCCCCCCTGTGGCCCGGGTCAGTCCCCCCCCCTGTGGCCCGGGTCAGTCCCCCCCTGTGGCCCGGGTCAGTCCCCCCCCCTGTGGCCCGGGTCAGTCCCCCCCCCCTGTGGCCCGGGTCAGGGTGTGGTTTTTCTGGCCCAGGTGTGCGCCTGCGGTGTGTCTCCACTTCCGCCCGAGTGTCAGGTGAGTGAAACCGCGGAGAGGATCTGAGCCGCGACCCCGAGAACGGGAACAGGTACAGCGCGACCCCCCCCCACCCCCCCCCCCGGGGTCTGTCACCACACAGCCCGACCCCCCCCTCCGGGGTCTGTCACCACACAGCCCGACCCCCCCCCACCCTCCCCCCCGGGGTCTGTCACCACACAGCCCGACCCCCCCCCCGGGGTCTGTCACCACACAGCCCGACCCCCCCCCCACTCCCCCCCCCCCCGGGGTCTGTCACCACACAGCCCGACCCCCCCCCACCCCCCCCCCCGGGGTCTGTCACCACACAGCCCGACCCCCCCCCCCCCCGGGGTCTGTCACCACACAGCCGACCCCCCCCCCACCCCCCCCGGGGTCTGTCACCACACAGCCCGACCCCCCCCCACCCCCCCCCGGGGTCTGTCACCACACAGCCCGACCCCCCCCCACCCCCAGGGAGGGCTGGGGGGTAGGGAGGGTAGGGGGGCATGGAGGGTGGGGGGTAGGGGGGCAGGGAGGGTGGGGGGTTACGTGGACAGGGAGGGTAGGGGGGGCATGGAGGGCAGGGTGTTAGGGGAGGGCAGGGGGTAGGGGGCAGGGAGGGTAGGGGGCAGGGAGGTAGGGGAGGGCAGGGAGGGCTGGGGGGTAGGGAGGGCAGGGGGTAGGGGGCAGGGAGGGTAGGGGGGCAGGGAGGGTGGGGGGGTAGGGGAGGGCAGGGGGGGCAGGGAGGGTAGGGGGCAGGGAGGGTGGGGGGTAGGGGAGGGCAGGGGGGTAGGGGGCAGGGAGGGTAGGGGGGCAGGGAGGGTAGGGGGTAGGGGGGCAAGTAGGGTAGGGGGCAAGGGGGCAGGGAGGGTAGGTGGTAGGGGGCAAGGAGGGCAGGGAGGGTAGGGGCGCAGGGAGGGTAGGGGGCAGGGAGGGTAGGGGGGCAGGGAGGGCTGGGGGTAGGGGCGCTGGGAGGGTTGGGGGGCAGGGAGGGTAGGGGTGCAGTGACGGGCCGGGGGGGGGGGGGGGGGGGCGGTGTGTTGGGGCCTCTGAGGGGGAATCACCCCCAACACCTCCACCATCAGCACTGGACACAATGTAGCGACTCACTGTGTCCACAGCAACAAAGTTACCGCGTGACCAGCGGCACAGTTACTACACACAGGGGGAGAGTTAGTACACACACACAGGGGGAGAGTTACTGTACACACAGGGCGAGAGTTACTGTACACACAGGGAGAGAGTTACTACACACAGGGGGAGAGTTACTACACGCAGGGGGAGAGTTACTGTACACGCAGGGGGAGAGTTACTACACGCAGGGGGAGAGTTACTGTACACACAGGGGGAGAGTTACTACACGCAGGGGGAGAGTTACTGTACACGCAGGGGGAGAGTTACTGACACACAGGGGGAGAGTTACTGACACACAGTGGGAGAATTACTGTACACACGGGGAGAGTTACTGTACACACAGGGAGGGAGTTACTGTACACACAGGGAGAGAGTTACTACACACAGGGGGAGAGTTACTGTACACACAGGGAGGGAGTTACTGTACACACAGGGAGAGAGTTACTACACACACAGGGGGAGAGTTACTGTACACACAGGGAGAGAGTTACTACACACAGGGGGAGAGTTACTGTCCACACGGGGAGAGTTACTACACACACAGGGGGAGAGTTACTGTACACACAGGGAGAGAGTTACTGTACACACAGGGAGAGAGTTACTGTACACACAGGGAGAGAGTTACTACACACAGGGGGAGAGTTACTGTCCACACGGGGAGAGTTACTACACACACAGGGGGAGAGTTACTGTACACACACGGGGAGAGTTACTGTACACACAGGGAGAGAGTTACTACACACAGGGGGAGAGTTACTACACGCAGGGGGAGAGTTACTGACACACAGGGGGAGAGTTACTGACACACAGGGGGAGAGTTACTCTACATGGGGGAAAGTTGCCCTACACGTGGGGAAAATTACTCTACATGGGGCCAAATTTACTCTATACAGAGGTGTTACCCTACACGGGGGAAGTTCCTCTGCACGAGGGGAAAGTTATTCTACATGGGGGCAAAGTTACTCTATACAGGGGAAAATTTACTGTGCACGAGGGAAATTACTCGACATGGGGAGAAAGTTACCCTACAAAGGGGGAAAGTTACTCTACATGAGGGGAAAGTTACCTTACACGGGTGGGAAAGTTACTATGTACAACAAAATTACATCTGTACAGCGTCTTTCACGGGCAGGTTGGTAGGGCTTAGGAGGTGGCAGAGGTCGGGGGGAACAAGACTATGGAGAGCTTTGAAGGTGAGGACCAGGATCTTGAACTGTATCCTCTGTGTGATGGGAAGCCGGTGGAGTCGGGTGAGGATGGGGGTGATAGAGCCCGGTGTGGGAGAGGGCACGGGCTGCAGAGTTCTGGATGATCTGCAGCCTGTGAGGGAGGGGTTGCGGAAGCCGACATGAAGGTTATTTGCGTAGTTGAGCTTGGAGTGCATGTATGAGGGTCTTGGGGCCTTTGGTAATATACAGTATTCAATGAAATAAAGGTGGAAAGTTACAATAAATATACAGGAGAAAGTAACCAATATAATAAAGGGGACAGTTACGATACCATATATAGGAAAAACTTCCAATATCGGGGGGAAAAATGATAATATACAGGAAAAAAACTGCAACAACACTTGTCCGAAAGACATCCCAGGGCGCTGGGCAGTCAGGGGTTTTTGGACCCAAGCTGGGACAGGTAGGGAGGGAGGAGGGGTGGGGTTGCGGGTGGGGGTTGGGGGTGGGAGGGTGGCCGAAGGCACGATTGAAGAGAAAGGTCTTCAGACGGGACTTGAAGGAGGCAAGAGAGGGTGTGAGGCGGAGGGATTGTGGGATAGACTTCCAGAGTGTGGGGGCAGGAATGCTGAATAAACAGGTGCCAATGGTGGGACCTGAAGCAGCCGGACAGTGTCTGCCGAGCGGAGGGAACGGACAGGCTGATACGGGGTTATGAGGTTGGAGAGGTGGGGGTGAGCAAGATCATGGAGGGCCTTGAGAGTAACAACGACTTGCCTTTAGGAAACCTTCCCCCCCCCCCCCCCCACTCATGCAGAGTAGGGTCTCAATGTATATAAAATATACTGCGCGGCTCTTTGAAAAGAGCTTCCAAATCAACCCCACTCCCCACTCTCTTCCCATAGCCCTGATCAACCCCACTGCCCACTCTCTCCCCATAGCCCTGATCAACCCCACTGCCCACTCTCTCCCCATAGCCCTGATCAACCCCACTCCCCACTCTCTCCCCATAGCCCTGATCAACCCCACTCCCCCACTCTCTCCCCATAGCCCTGATCAACCCCACTCCCCACTCTCTCCCCATAGCCCTGATCAACCCCACTCCCCCACTCTCTCCCCATAGCCCTGATCAACCCCACTCCCCCACTCTCTCCCCATAGCCCTGATCAACCCCACTGCCCCGCTCTCTCCCCATAGCCCTGATCAACCCCACTCCCCGCTCTCTCCCCATAGCCCTGATCAACCCCACTCCCCCGCTCTCTCCCATAGCCCTGATCAACCCCACTCCCCCACTCTCTCCCCATAGGTCTGCAAACCTGTCCTCCCCAAATAATTATCTATGTCTCTCTTAAAAGTTGTTATCCAACCGCCTTTCACCACCCTTTCGGCAATAGTTACAATATATAGGAAAAAGGTACAGTACAAAAGGGAAATCATTACAATCAGAGGCAAAAGTTACAATATAATGTGCAACAACAACTTGCATTTTGTATAGCGCTCCTCATGCAAACTGGCGACCCAGAGAGACAAGTTACAATATGCAGGAAAAAGTTACATGAAGGGATAAACTTATAAAATAAAGGGGAGAAGTTATAATACGAAAGGGGAAATGTTCCAATAGTGAAAGGGAAAGGTTCAAATAGAATGTGAAAAAAAAGACCAAACATTTTGCAACACTTTTACTCTTGACAGCGATTTCCCTTTATGTGTGTATGAGGTTTGCTAATTTCCTGACTTTTGCTGATTTCTTCTCATTATAAACTTGCATTTAATTTATGTAGCTGGGAAATTCACTGTCAGAGTCGCAGCTTCTGATAGCCTGGGTTGTTATTGTTCAATGCATTTATAGGTTTATTGCACTTTGGTTTCTCTCTTGGATTCAACAACGAATTACATTTTCACAGCGCCATTCACATAATAATAATAATAATCCCTGCATTTGATATAGCGCTTTTCACGTCGGGAGGACGTCCCAAAGCGCTTCACGGAACACACTGTGAAGTGAATTGACTGTATATTTGTGGGCGAACGCGGCAGCCAATTGCGCACAGCAATGTCCCACAAATAGTCGTAGATTGAAAATGACCAATTTATTATTGTTTTTGGTTTTGGAGGGAATATTATTAGGCTCTGTGTGGAGTAAGGAAACTTGCCCAAGGTTTCGCCCTCTGCCTGGAATTGAACTCAGGTCTCTCACTTGCAAAGCGAGTGCTCTAACCACTGAGCTACAGGACTCCACATCGGGAGGATGTCCCAAGGCGCTGGACAGTCAAGGACAACCCGAGCTGGGGATTGGGATCAGGAGGGGTGGAGGGTTGGGAGGGTGAGGGTAGGAGGATGACCGAAGGCGCGGTGAAAAAGGAGTTATTCAGACAGAAGGCAAAGGAGGGAGGGGAAGTGACTGGGATGGAGTTTCATAGGGTGTGGGCAGAAAAGCTGAAGGCCTGACCGCCGATGTTGGCAAAGCACTACAACAGCTCGGAAGTGAATGAGAAATTTTACTGGGGGAAGAATGTCAGCCAGGACCCGGGGGGGTGGGGGGGGGGACTCGGTTCACTTATCGAGAAGTGCCGTGGGCTCTTAAGAACTGGAGCCCACTTTGTTTTATACGCTGTCCTTTTCCAACGTCACACGGGGCTGTTGAACTCTTGGCACATCAGCGCTTCTCCAAGTCAACTAACGAGGTTTGGGAATTAAGCGGTCACAATGACTATGCGTGTTTGGCAAAGCCCTGGTGTTTACACAGGGCTCCGTGACATAAATCAACACCCAAATGCTGTGTCAAGAGGCTCGAGGGTGACACTTGGCTGAAAATGATGCATGGCTGTTTGTATATCAGCAAGCAAAGATTTAATAACCCAATTTTGTTTTGCTCAGTGAGTGCTGCTTGCTGTTTGATGCCTCGTCACACTCATTAAATCTATGATCTTAGGATCGTATTCGGGTCATGGAATGTTCACAACCCAGAACGGAGGCAATTCGGTCTTTGCCAGTGCTGTCCTCGAATATATGAGGGGGAAGGGAATAGAGAGGTATGGGGGTGGGAGGGGGGATTTAGTTGAGGGAGGATTGTGCAGTATGATAATTGGCCTACAAAATAAATAAATATTTACCCTTTCGTTAGATTCAGCACCTTTTACGTCAGGAGGATATCTTTACAGGATTCCCTGTAAGCGTGGAGTCCTGTAGCTCAGTGGTTAGAGCATTCGCTTTGCAAGTGAGAGACCTGAGTTCAATTCCAGGCAGAGGGCGAAACTTTGGGCAAGTTTCCTTACTCCACACAGAGCCTAATAATAATCCCTCGAAAAAAAACAATAATAAATTGGTCATTTTCAATCCACGACTGTCTGTGGGACACTGCTGTGCGCAATTGGCTGCCGCGTTCGCCCACAAATATACAGTCAATTCACTTTACAGTATATTCTGTGAAGCGCTTTGAGACGTCTCGAAGACGTGATAAGGCGCGCTTTATCAAATGCAAGGATTATTATAATTTTGTGGGAAAACGTGGCAGCCTAGTTGGCACAGGGCAATGTCCCATAAAAAAGCAGACCTGAAGTGAACGATTTTATTTGAGAGATAGTTGGCCAGGACAACAGGGAGGAACTTCTCTTATGCAGTTAGTGGGGCACATCCACTGTCTTTGCTGGCGTTGACTTGTCAATGGCAGCATCGTGTAATTCACAAAGTTTTTGTAGTGTGAATTTCTTTGTGCCAGCCAGCCAAGCTACATGGCTCTCTGTGCACTGAATGAATCAGATGCAGCGAGTTGGAAGTTCTTGTGTCTGTCATTTGTTTCCAAACATTTTGTCAGATGAGCACTGCCAAATTCGACCGTTCCTGCATCTGCAGAGAGAGGGTGGAAAAGAAAATGTTGATTTTATTAAAAAAAATCGCCTCGTCTTGCAATGACTCAACCAGCCTCTTTTCGTGGATAAACAGGCAATCTTTGTGATTAGTTACAGTAATTGCATTTCAGTTTGTGACTCACTGCACTGGAGTCTGTTTCTGTGATCGCGATTAGTTCTGGCACCAAACTTCTACAGTAATAATAATAATAATCCTTGCATTTCATATAACACCTTTTATTTTGTGAGGAAGTCTCAAAGCGCTTCGCAAGATTAATAATATCAATCATTGCATTTGATATAGCGACTTATCACGTCATTGAAACGTCTCAAAATGCTTTGCAGAATATACAGTACAGTGAATTGACTGTGTATTTTGTGGGTGAAATATGTCCATTTTATGGGATTCAGTGTAAAGTGTAGTGACTGTATTTTTGTAAATGAATTTAGCAGTCGATTGTGCACAGCAATGTGCCACAAACAGCCATGAAGTGAATGGGCAGGGCAATGGGGTTGAATGAACAAATTGCTCTGAGTGTCAGTGCAGACTCGATGGGCTGAATGGCCCCCTCCTGCCCTGTAAATTTTCAGGATTCTAGGATAAAGAAATGCTGCAGATGTTCTACTGGTGAAGAATCAAGGTCAGTTTACTTCAGGCCTCATTTACATGGAGCCAAGTACAATAATCAAGTGTATCCGCTAGATAGTGTTTCACAGAACCTCATTTAGTGATATAAAGCTGTATATTTAGTGATATAAAATGTGTATTTAGTGATATAAAAGCATAGTTGTGTACAAGTACTAACGAAGGACTGCACTGTAGGAAGACCAAAGTAGTTTCAGCCTGGCTTGGTGAGTAGCACCCTCACCTCTGAGCCTGAAGGCTATGGGTTCAAGCCCTCCACTTTGGGACTCTCATTGTATAGACTGACGTTCCCATTCAGTGCCGGGGGAGCCTGCACTGCCCTATTGGGGGTGCCATCCTTTGGATGATGAAATATAACTAGATTCCAAATCAAGGCTGTGTTAGTAGCTTCTTTATGTGTCAATCCAAACTCAATAATCCACCACTCTAAACCACACACTGTGTCCCACTTCCAGTGCCCCGTTGTACTTCCTGCCTTTCTTATTATTGGCCCTTTTCTTACTCGTCAATTTACTCTTAAAGGAGTATCCGACACATGAGACGTCAAACCAAAGTGACTGTTCAGGCAGACGTTAAAGATCCCGTGGCACTATTCGAAAAAAGAATAGAGTTTCTCCTGGCTGACAATCTCCTGGAGAGAGAAAAAAGAGATAATTTACATCATGGCTGTTTGTAGGACATTGGTGTGGGCAAATTGGCTGCCGCGCTCACCTACAAAACACAGGCACTCCACTTTATTTTATTTTCATTATTAATTATATTTGCTTTACCAACATTTCCTTTAATTGTTACAGGATCGCGGTGAAAAACAAACAAGACCAACCTATTGAAAGACCCAATCATGCCTGAAAACCTTGAATTGGGTAATGACTTAGTCACATCCTATGATTTTTTTTGTTTTAAGCGGAGCAGGCATTAGTAAGAGAGAAAAAAAATAATTAGTAAGCAGCCAGAAAACGTTAGTTTGCAGGTACAGCAAGCAATTAGGAAGGCTAACGGTATATTGGCATTTTTTACCTAAGGGTTAGAATATAAGAGCAGGGAAGTCTTGCTGCAACTGTATAGGGCCCTGGTGAGACTACACCTAGAGTATTGTGTGCAGTTTTGGTCTCCTTATTTAAGAAAGGATGTACTCGCCTTGGAGGGGGTACAACGTAGATTCACAGGGTTGGTACAAGGAATGAGGGGGATGAGTTATGAGGATAGGTTGAGCAATTTAGGCCTATATTCTCTAGAATATAGAAGAATGAGGGGTGATCTTATGGGAACCTATAAGATTATTAAGGGGCACAGCAGAATAGATAGTTGGAGACTTTTTCCCCTGGTTGGAGAAACTATAACCAGGAGTCACAGTCTTAAAATTAGGGGTAAGCCCTTTCGCACTGAGTTGAGGAAAAACTTCTTCACTCAGAGGGTAGTGAATTTATGGAATTCTCTACCCCAAAGGGCTGCCTCAAGACTGAGATTGATAGATTTCTTGTGAATAAAGGGATTAAGGGATATGAGGATAAGGCAGGTAGGTGGAGTTAGAATAGATCAGCCATGGTCTTATTGAATGACGGGGCAGTCTAGAGGGGCTGAATGGCCTACTCCTGCTCCTAATTCTTATGTTCTTATGTTCTTCCCAGGCAGCAATATCAGTGGCAAGCTATGCGGTTTTAGCTGGTTAGACTCAAGCAGTTACTTCAACTCACACTCTGGGGTCCCCCTAAGCCTTGGCTCTCGACAACCTGCGCCTAATGCTTTCCGGAATAAAGGAAACAGGATGCGTCCCTCCAGGGAGAGGGAGAGAGAGAGTGTGTATATTCCATTCCAACAAACTATCTCTGGGATTTCCATGTGTAGGTGGGATGCATGGAAATCTTAGCTTGGTTTGGAGACTCTTAAGCAATGGTGATGGGATTCCTCATGTGTCAGACACCCGGCTGGGCATAAAACAAATTAGGAAGAAATATTGATTTTCCTCTGTGAATTGATGTTTTGGCTGTACAGTGGACAAGCAGCGGGTTCTGGAAGCCCTGGATCGCCTTCAGGCCAGGCTGAGAGAGAGAGGGGAATCGCAGCAACAAGAGAAACTCAACCTCCTACACCAGACCATGAGAAGCCCCTTGTTCAACCAGATACTGACACTGCAGCACTCCATCAGACACCTGAAGGAACAGGCAAGTGGGACTTCTCATTCAATGCTGTGCTGGGTGTGTGTGTGGGTCTGTATGAGTGTGTGCACATCAGGGCAGATGTTCTGGAGGGAAGATGGGCTGAAGGGTTTTCTTCATCCAGATGGATCTTCTGATAAGAATAATAATCGGAATAATAATCATTGGGGAAACAATATAATAATAATAATTCCATTTGATATAGTGCTTTTCACGTCTTCTAGACGACTCAAAGTGCTTCACATAATAAACTGTAAAGTGAATTGACTGTATATTTGTGGGCGAAACGTTGCAGCCATTGCGCACAGCAGCGTTCCCACAAACAGTCGTGGATTGAAATGACCAATTTATTATTGTTTTTTATTTTGGAGGGATTATTATTAGGTGTGTGGAGTAAGGAAATTTGCCCAAGGTTTCGCCCTGCCAGGAATCGAACTCAGGTCTCTTGCTTGTGAGGCGGGTGCTCTAACCACTGAGTTACAGGACTCTGAACATATTCTCTGAAGCACTTTGAGACGTCTCACAAAGATGTGATAAGGTCCTCTATCAAATGCGAGGCTTATTATTTTTACTGTAAAGTATACTGTGTATTTTAGGCAAAGGAGTCTTTGCATTCAGGTATTGAGTTGTCAGCATTATTGTTGTCTGTTCCTTCAACGAGCACACACTTACAATCCCAATTGTGCAAGATTAGAATAAATGTCAACCTCTGGTTTCCCTTCTGCAGTTGAATTCCTTGCCCACGGACGCCTCTCCCAGTTTTGACTTCTCTCAAGACGGATATTTGGTGTTCAACGCGGAATATCCCGAGAGGGACCCAGGCTGGGCTCAGGCCCCCAAAGCCCTGCCCAACGGGGACAAGCAGCAGAGAGATTTGCCATTCCCTGGGAGAACAGGAGATGAGTTTGACCAGATTATTCAAGGACTGGCTCAGGTTTGTGTTTCCTTCCGGGCTCTGTGGTGGCAGCTGCTGTAAGCTCGTCAACGTGTCTTAAACTGTTCTGACTGAATGGGGCGCAGGTTGAAGATGTCAACGCTAACCTGAGCGCTTGGCTGCTGTGAGCCGCTCAGCAGTTTGTTTCGCTTCCTCCCTTGCCGCCTTCAAGGCACATCTCAAGACCCTCCTCTTCGACCGCGCCTTCAGCCACCTTCCTACCCTCACTGATCCCAAGCCACCCACCCCAGCGCTCGGATCCAAATCCCTGACTGTCCAGCACCTTGGGACGACCTCCCAATATGAAAGGTGCTATGCACATGTCGTTTTCTTTGTATTTTATATTATCACGTCTTTGAGGCGTCTCAAAGCGCTTCACAGAATATACTGTAAAGTGGAGTGACTGTATTTTGTGGGTGACTGCGCATGACCCTTTTTTGAAGTTAAATGTTGTGACACCCTGGCCATTCTTCAAGTTATTTTCTGAGAAGCAAAACCATTGAATTAGAAGCTGTTGTGCACACCACAATGCAGCCCTTTTAAGAGTCTGTACAATAGTATATAAATGTCTTATTTATTGTTACCGGGACGTTTTTCTTTAGGCTCAATCCATTCTTTGTGTGATGAATTGCACCCCGATAAGATCTGGTTTTGTTCGGGAATTAGTTGGGCTAAGGCAAGATTTACATCTTGCGTGGCTTATTTTTAAACAAAAAAAATTAATATGTGCTTTCTACTAAGTCACTTAACTATATATTACATTTCTTTTTTTTTGCCAGGGAAGACAAATGGAACATATTGAACTTAAGAAGCCAACCTCGGGAGGCCTGGGGTTCAGTGTAGTTGGTCTTAAAAATGCCAACATGGGAGAAGTTGGTATCTTTATAAAGGAAATTCAGAAAGGCAGCATAGCAGACTGGTAAGGCTACTTATTAACTATGTAATTTTGTTGGCGAAGTCCCTAAAGTGGTGCTAATTTACTTTTTAAATGAAACGTCAGATTCCCAAGACATTGAACATATTGACTTTAATTATTTTCCAGTTGTATTTCAGCTTGGCTCACTGGGTAACACTCTCGCCTCTGAGTCACAGGGTTCAAGCCCCACGTCGGGAGCTCAACAGTCGAGGCTGACATTGCAGTGCAATCCTGTGTGTGTGTGGGGGGGTGGGGGCTGGCACGGTGCGAGAGCGCTGTGAATCAGAAGTACCATCTTGGAAGAGAGTTTAAACCAAGCACCCGTCTGTGCCCAGTTCGGGTTGTTAAAGATCCCACATCGCTATTTGAAAGAGACGGGAGTTTCTCTCTCCCTGTGTCCGAGCCAACAAACCGCTAAGCTAAATTGGTCCCTCACTCCATGGCTGTTTGTGCATTGTGTTATGCCGAGATTGGCCTCCACATTCGCCCAGAAAGTACACAGTAACTCCACCTGACAGCAGCTTTCTGTGAAGCGCTTTGGGATGTTTTGTCATAGGAGGCGCTGTATCAAATGCAATTCATTTTTTTCGATGTCACTCTTTGCAGCAAACATGTTCGTTCAGTTCTCCCTCAGGAATATAACTTTGTTTTAGGATGTTCCAATCTTTGTTGAGATTTTTTTTCTCCCCACACCCCCCACTTCATTTTCCCCCCCTTCCCCATTACTGACCCACACTGACGCCAACACTTGCGGCGAGTGGATTTCTCTGCTCCCCACTCATTCCTCTCCACTTCTCAGAAGCATTATGTAATGTGAGCTGAGCTTTCAACACTGTGTGTGTTAGTGAGACACCACGTCAGTGGAAAAGCAACGTTTCAAAAAGTTTTTAAAAAGCTACAAAACCACTAAAACATTTCAAAATAAATGAAACTCCCCCGCACGTCCCTCTTCAGAAATCCTGAGTGGGTTTTGGCTGAATCATATAATGCAACCCACAAAAGCTGACTTCAGGGAGTTGGTATAAAGGTTTTATGAGATAGGTCAGTCAGAGAAGTTTGTTTGCCAATAGGTGTGATGCCAACCTGTGCCATGAAATGTGCATATGCTATAGATTATTAATTTTTTTAACACCAAATCAATAATTCCTCACAATTTCTGTTTCACTTTTTTGCATTAATTCCTCCCACCCACCCCCCCAACAAAAAAAGTGGTCACTCAATCCACGACTGTTTGGGACACTGCTGTGCGCAAATGGCGCTATATCAAATGCAAGGATCATTATTATTTATTACAGATTAGGTGTCAGCCTGGCTCAGTTTCTGACTTCTGAGACAAAAAATTGTGGGTTCAAGCCTCACGTCGGCACTTTAATCTCACACAGGTGAACCCATGTCTATCGCTTGTGAGGCGAGTGCTCTAACCACTGAGCTGCAGGACTCCAGTTTATGCTCCATTTTGGCGGACCTAAGGTTCCATGCCACTATCTCAAAAAGAGAAGGGGGTTTCTCTCTCCCAGGGTTCTGGCTGATAACCCCTCAGATAAAAATTGGTCCTTTACTTCACTGCTGTTTGCAGGTAACTTGGCTGACATAAACTGGGCAGCGCTTTGGCTTGCAAAATGCACTTGACAGTAAATTCTGTGAAGCGCTTGAAGATGTCTCAACAATGTGATCGTGCGCTGTATCAATTGCAAGGATTATTATTATTCTAAGTGTAGTGACTGTTCTTTGCTGATAAGCATGGCTCCCATTACCCCAGAGCAACATCTGACAAGACAGCCACAAGATGTGGAAGACACTGGAAGAAACTTATTTTTTTTTGGACCACAGAGTCACGGGAGATTTAATGCCCTCCTAAGAACAGGCACAAGGGAGTCTCATTTTTTTTGTTTTTTTGACGCATCCTCGGAAGCACGGTCACTCCCAACAACTCTCGAAGCTAAAACGATTTTTGTATTTTTACGTTGCTGTGGAAAGTCTAAATCAGGAAGCTTCCTGCTGTGCACACGCACACACTATACACATACGCTACACATACACACTGCACATACTACACACACTGCACCCACCGTACATCCATGCACACACCATACACACCCACACACCCACACACACTAAACACACACCATCGCCACCACACACGGACACATATGCACACGTGCACACATGCACATGCACTCACATGCACTACACTGAGCTGTTGCCAGGAGGGAAAGGCCATTAAATCGAAGTGCCTAATTTTTGGGGTGTAAAACGGATGTGAGCTTTATTAAATGTCCGAGGCTGGCAGCTCTCAAGCTTTCTCGCATCAAGGCTAGTAATCAAGCTCTCTTGTGGTTTTTGCGTGCAGGGACGGAAGGCTGAAAGTACATGACCACATATTGGCCATAAATCGCACAGCCCTGGATAAGAACATTTCCCACCAGCAAGCTATTGGCCTGCTTCAGCAAAGCCAAGGATCTGTGGGCTTAGTGGTTGCCAGAGGAGCTGTCCCAAACGATTATAAGAATCCAACATACACGACAGCCTTGCCCTTCACTTCACAACCAGTAAGCTCTGTTCTCTCTTATTTCCCCCCGTTTTTAGATTGGGAATCGATACTTTAATCACGAATGATCACAGGCGAACTTTAACGGATTTTAAGTTGATTTGATTTTAACCCACATTGAAATCCGTCCTTATTGAAGCCGTTCTCCTCATTGATGTGCGCAATCAATATGTTTTGTTTTCTCATCAGTTGGACAAACGTTAAATCCCATCGTTTTTTCTGAATATTTATATTCAGAAAAACCGAACATAATATTTAAAATTTAGATTTAAAATTCCACTTTGGGATTACAGTCACAACTTGGCCAGGAAAATGAAAAAGAAATGTTTTTATTAAGATATCTCAACACTGTAATCAGGCTCTGTATCAAATGCAAGGATCATTGTTATAATAATAAGTGTATTGACTGTTTTCTGCTGGTCCTCCCACCTTCTCTGAGCCACCAGCAGAGGCCGAGCCTTCACTCCTTAGGCCCTGTTCTCTGGGCCTCACTCCCTTTACCACTCTGTCTCTCCACCTCCACCCACCTTTCTGTCTTGGAAGCTCTGCTTACCCTCAAATCATAGAATCGTACAGCACAGAAGGAGGCCATTCAGCCCATCTTGCCTGTGTAGAGGTGGTTAAATAGGCAAAGGTGACAGCTCTTTGAAAGAGCTACCCAACTAGTCCCACTCCCCCGCTCTTACCCCATAGTCCGGCAAATTTTTCCTTTTGAAATACCTATCCAATCCTACCTCTGCAATGGTCACCTCACCCCCACTCTCTCCCTTGATTGACATTCAACCCCATCTCTTGAAGCATTCAGATGCTAACCCTACGCGAAAGGCTCTGTACAGTGTAAATGCAAGTCACTTTTTTTTAAGTGCTGAATTCAATCTGGCATCTCGCTTCACTTTGGAAATGTGTATAAGCTGAATTGACTGAGTTTGTTTTTGCTTTAATGCTGGCAGTGATTGCTGCTGGTTCAGTGAGGATGAGGTTTAAAGGGTGACCAGACTGAAGAACAACACTGATAGTTGGGAGGTTTAAGATGTATCCAGGAATCCGCATTGCCAATTAATCAGTATGGAGCTGCAACATGGCTGTTGCATTGTTGAGAAACTCTTTCCATTAAGAATCAAAGGGAACGTCCGGTTGCTTTATAAAATAAAAGAGAACTAACTAACTCGCTGCTTTATTCTTCCTAAAACTGAGGGACTGAATTTTCTTTTCTAAATACTGGGACTAACTTTCTCTTTTTTTTAAATGCATAATAATCAAAAAAACTGCTCCAATTCAATTATCTTCCTCTTCGAGAAAGAGGGAAAGTTGCCAGATTTATGTAAACTCTGGGCTCTCAACGACGTTTGCCAGTATCAACAAAAGCGCAGTTTTTTTTTACCAGGAACAAACCGTGCATTCTCCGAAGTGGGGGCCACTTCTTTAAACAGGAAAAATCTTCATCTCCGATTAAAAGTAGAAACATGTGAAAATCAACATGCTCTTGGCTGCCGACTGTGGTTTCTGCAATCTGCGTGCCTGGCTTCTGCACTTTTTTTTCTGTCTCTTGCAATCTCACTTGGGTCGGGATGATCAAATATAAAGATGTGCAACGATGCCTTTTGAGGTTGAAGGAGGTGATATGAGAACTGGCCATAAAGTAGGTGACTAGGCAATCACACACACGCACCACAAGTCGTTTTGGGGTTGGCGACAGGTAGCGTCGTTCTGGGAAGCGTATAATAAGACTTGAGGGAAAGCTAGAAGTTACACGAGGGAGAAATGAATAGAAGGTTAAGCTGAAGGCTTAGTTGAGGAAGGGCAAGAGGAGGCTCATATGGAGCACAAACACCGGCATAGACCAGTTGGGTCAAATGGCCTGTTTCTGTGCTGTATATTTTAATGTATTCTAATGTAAGATGGGGTTTTGCAGTTTGCTTAGTGAGCTGTCGCTCGCTTTATGGCCTTCCTCAACAGGATACATTACCCTATTATTTTTTCTTGTTCATTCTATTACCTCTGTCTCCACTTTGTACTTCGTCCGTCCTGCTTACTCTCCCATTGAGGGGAGGGGGCGGGCAAGAGCGTGCAGTGTAGTGCAGTGGTGATTGTTAATGGACTAGCAACCTACAGATGGCCAGTTTGAATCCCGCTACCTTCCTTGAAACAAAATTGGTAATTTCAACGAGCACCAGAAATCTGCGATGACACTACTTCAGTGAGCGAGTAGTAAGCGTATGGAACAGGCTCCCTAGGGAGACAGTGGAAGCAGCAAGTGTCCTTTGTTTCAAGAACTAATTAGATAGATTTCTGTTAGAAAATAATATCTGGGGATACTGTATATAGTTTGGGACACGACATGTCAAACGACTACCAGGATGATGGAATGTGAACTGGATGGACCTTGGTCCTTTTTCTTTCTGATAAACGCCAGAGTCGCTCACATCCTCAGATGAATTTTTATAAAAATACGTGAACATTGCTAGAAGGCGATCCTCTAAGAATGAGCGAAACACCGACTTTCAATGTCAGGTTTTGTTTTTTCCAACTGTTTTCTCTTTTTTAAAAAAAATTCTTTATCTTGTCCAAAAATCGTCTCTCCAAATCTCCAAAGCTAATCGAGAATGCTGTGAAGATCCCTTTGTGAATGCAAATAAATTCCTTCACCATTTCCCTCTGCGTTGGATGGATGTCTGCAGAGGCAAGAGTTTGGAGGTGTTAATTAGATGATTTGTGCTTGCGAGGGTGGGGTTGTGGGGGGGGGGCTGGGGGATGGCGGTGGGAAAATCATGAAAATACAATGATTCTGATTTTTCTAATCCTGACTTTGGGATGGTGGTGTCAGATGGGAGAAGAAAAGAAGGAGCCGATGGAGAGAGAGAAAAAAGCCTCACTTTATAATTTTGTGATGAGCCCATTCAATCTCACTCATCAGCAAACGTGTTGTTTGCTTGACTGGCAAATATCCTCTCCCCCACAAAATACACAGTCACTTCGTTTTGCGGTGTGTCCTATGAAGCGCTTTGAGACGCCCTATGGTACAAAAGTCGCTTTATCAAATGGAAGGGTTATTATCATCCTAAATCCTGAACCTGATCTCCGCTTTGAATCCACCCCAGATGCAATGGGGCCACGTCGAAGAGATCGAGTTGGTCAACGATGGATCAGGCCTGGGATTTGGAATTGTCGGAGGGAAAGCAGCCGGAGTGGTTGTGAAGACGGTGGTACCAGGAGGCCTAGCTGATCGGGTAATGTTTCCCTCCCAGCGTTATTGAACAGGGTGATTGAAGCATGGTCAAAGAGGAGGGTCTTGAGGTGAGTCTTGAATGAGGCAAGGGAGGCGGTGAGGCGGAGGGATTGCGGATGGAGTTCCAAAGGGTGAGGGCAGAGTGGCAGAAGGCCCACCCACCAATGTTCAAGGAGAGGGATGTGAAGCAGGCTGGAGCCCGCTGAGCGGAGGGAACAGGCAGGATTGTAGGGGGGTTAGGAGGTTGCAGAGGTAGTGGAGCAAGGCCCAAATCAGGAGGGATTTGAAAGTGAGGACCAGGATTTTGAGCTCTGTGTGATGCCAGTGGAGTTAAACGAGGATGGGGGTTAATAGGGTCATGGAACTGGTGCGGGCTACAGAGTTCTGGCTGATCTGCAGCCTGTGGAGGGCGATGTTGGGGAGGCCGACAAGCAAGGAGTTTGCATAGTCGAGCCTCGATGTAATGAAAGCGTGTGTGAGGGTTTCGGCTGCCTGTGGTTTGAGACAGTGGCGGAGCTGGGTGATGTGGCGGAGTGGGGAAGGCAGAGTGGGTCATGGCATGGATGTGGGGTAGAAAGGAGAGTTGAGATCAAACAAGACCCCAAGGTTTCGGACTGGCTTAGCAAGGTGGAGTGTGCAACCATGGATGGTGATGCTGTCAGCGCCTGAGGTGAGGAGGCGCTGATGGGAGCCAATCAGGAGAGCCTCAACTGAAGAAAGTTAGCTCTCATCCAGGGCTTGATGTCTGACAGATATTCTGTCAGGACAGCAATGGTCCTGGACTCAAGGGTAGAGGCAGAGAGATAGAGTTGGATGTCATCCGCACACATGTGGAAATTGACCCCATGTCTGCGGATGATGCCACCCAGATGGTGCATATAGATATTGAAGAGGAGGGGACCAAGGACAGAGCCCTGAGGAACACCACACAAGACCGTGCGGGGGCTAGAGGAGAAACTGTTTGTGGCGATGAATAATGCAGGTGGTGTGAGAGGTACAATCTGAACCATTCAAGGACAGAATCAGATTCAGGACTATCTTAGTGGTTAGAGCCTCTCAGTGAGAGGACCTAAGTTTGATTGGCAGGAAGCCTTCAGCAAGTTTCCTTATTCTACACACCTATGTTTACCTGGCAGTAATTAGGAACCCGGTTATTAGTCTAATGGCGGATCACTCTCCATGGGTAAAAATCTCTTCCAAAAAATATGTGGTCACTCAATCCATGACTGTTCGTAGGACACTGCTGTGAGCTGCCGCATTTCACCCACGATATATACCACAACTTGAATTTATATAGTGCCCCCCACAGAGGGTAGCGCCCCAGAGCGCTTGACAGCAGTGGAGCACGATATCAAGCGGGGGAGGTGACTGTAGGTACGGGCGAAAAGGAAGATCTTCAGGCATGACCTGAACATGGGGAAGGAGGGGGAAAGGCATAGAGGAAGAGTGTTCCAGAGTTTCGGGGCATAGTGGCTAACAGTGTGGCCACTGTGGAACTGAGGGCACGAGAGACATGCAGGAGGCTGGAGTCAGTCGAGCGGTGGCAGCTGGTAGTGGGCCGGGGAGTAAGCAGCTGGCAGAGTTAGGGAGGTGCCAGGGCATGAAAGGATTTGACAGTCACAGTCAGTCAATTCCCTTTACAGTCTATCCTGTGAAGCGCTTTAAGACGTCTCAATGACGTGATAAGGCGCTATGTCAAATGCAAGGATTATTATTATTATCTTGTGAAGCTGACCCTCCCTGTGACCCATGCTATTGTGTGCCATGTTTGCAGGATGGAAGGCTGCGGACTGACGACCACATCCTGAGGATTGGAGGCACCGACGTGCAGGGGATGGGGAGCGAGCAAATCGCTCAGGTGTTGAGAAACTGTGGGAACCGGGTCCGAATGGTGGTGGCCAGGAATCCCCAGGAAGACCTTTCCTCCTCCAGAGATCCTCTCCCTCCTCAGGATCGAATCTCTAACGCTGTAAGGAAGATCCCACTTCCATTCGTGAGTTTCCTTTGCAGGCGTATTGGGGGACTGATGGAGCTAAATCCTCTGGGGCCCCTCGAGTTATTACAGGGGAGAATCTCACTGTTGGGACATCAATTTGTTCCATATTCAACCCCAGATTCACAGTACTAAATCATTGATGTGGGTCAGGGTAGACCCTCCTCTTCGATCGCGCCTTCAGTCACCTTCCTTCCGCCCCCCCCCCCATCCTCCATCCGCCCCGATCCCGACCCCCAGCTCGGGTCCGAATCACTGACTATTCAGCACCTTGGGTATCCTCCCGACGTGAAAGGCGCTTTACAAATGTCATTTTGTTGTTGCTCTTGTTCTGCCAGTCAGACTGACTCAGAGATTGGTCATTAAACAGCCTGTCGTAACAAGTCTCTTCTCCGCAGGATATACGAGCTGATGTTCGTATCAAAATGTTCCTCCGCAGAAACCAATCTATATCCCCGCACCCATTCAAGCCTCTATCCTGCTGTGCGCAATTGGCTGCCGTGATCACCCACAAAATTTCCAGTCAATTCACTTTACAGTATATTCTGTGAAGCGCTTTAAGACGTCTCGACGATGTGATAAGGCGCTATGTCAAATACAATTATTATTATATATATTGTATTTATCTGCTTTTTGTTCTGCAGGTAAGCGTTGAGGATCACGACACTTATGATGTGGAGCTCAACAGAGACGGACAGAGCCTGGGCATCACTGTCGTTGGCTACGTCGATGCTTCTCACGGAGGCAAGTTTACAACCATAGCTCCATGAGCCGTCAGTAGAAATGTGTTTCTTGTTCTTTTCTTCCTAAATTGGTGTTAGCCTCTTGTCAGCGCATGGATTTCTCCAACATCTTAAGAAAAGTTTTCTCAGAAGTAGCAAACAAGTGTCTCTTTTCTTCAAATATAACTTGCTCGTGCCTCGTGTGGTAGACAGATGGGCAGTGGTGGTGGTGATTGCAAGCCTCTCTTACAGTACAATGTACACTTATACAGCCCCTTTCACGTCGGGGAGGACGTCTTCATTGGTTGGAGGTGCAATGTTGTGTTTGATAGGACCAGTGTAAATCTGAAGCGCTTTGAGACGTCCTCCCGACGCTTTACCAAGTGCAAGGATTATGATTATACAATACTTGTTGCGAGATGTTCAGATAGCAGAATAACTTGCCACTTTGTCCCTCAGACACTTCTGGTATCTTTGTCAAGAGCATTATACCAGGGAGTGCCGCGGAGCAGAGCGGGTGCATTCAGATCCACGACCGCATTATCGCTGTGAGTCAATCATTGTTTCACTTGAAATTCTTTTCGTTCTCGTCTTGTATTGAAGGTTCCCCCTGTGAGAGTTTCTGCTTGCTCCTATTCCACTCTAACCCACGAAACCCACTTGGCTACATACAAACAAACAACAAAAACTTGCAGTTATATAGCGTCCTTCACATGGGGTAGCGTCCCGGAGCGCTTCAAAGCATAGCAACCCTTCAGCGAAGTTAATGGACATGTTTAAAAGGGAAATCCTGACAGTAGATTCTTGGTGTTATGAGATGTGTGGAGCAAAGATGTGGGGAAATTGATTTAGAAGATCATCTAATGATATTTTTTTTAAAAATGGCCAAAAGGGTTCTTTGAGATTGGGACGTCCTCCTGACGTGAAAGGCGCTTTATAAATGGAATCTTGTTGTTGTTGTTGTTGAGATGAATGATCTACCCCTTTCATTCACTGCATTAATACCTCAGCCCCTTTAAACTGGCCTAATTAATGCCTCCTTTAAGAATCAAGCCTCAAGCAAATTGGAAATTCAGTGGGGTTTGGGAAAGGGGAGTCGAAGGTTTACGTGAGAGGGAGAAGTGAATCAAGAGAAGGGTGTGGGTGAGGGGAACAGGAGGGCTACGGGTCTGGTATGGAGTATAAATAATGTGATAAGGCACTATATCAAACACAAGGATTATTATTATAAACACCGGCACATGGACTGGGGGCCAAATTTCTGTAGCTTTCTATGTAATTTTATGGGATTGGTTTCATTGCTTAATGCTCCATGGGAATTCAATTTTCCCACAGGGAATGGCATCTGGTGTTTGCTTTATAATCCTGCCACTAGGAATTGACCCTTTTTTCCGTAATTATTACAGGTGGATGGGTTTAACATCCAGGAATTGACTAACCAGGAAGCCATCGATGCTTTGCGTAACACTGGGAATACAGTCCATCTTACCTTGGCCAGAAAGAAGGCGGGCGCAGACTCCCATATAGGTATGATACCATTTACCTTCAGCCGTGAAACTCCACAACAACTTGTATAGTAATTTAGTCATATAGTCTCCTACAGGTGGGTTAGCTGCTCGGAGCGCTTAACAGTGGCAGAGCCGAACACTGTGAGCCGTGGGGAGGTGACCGGAGGCATGGTCGCAGAGGAAGATCTTCAGTGTGATCTGAAGGTGGTCAAGGAGAAAGCAAGGCGGAGGGATTGAGGCAGAGAGTGCGTAGTGATTGAAACCACGGCCGCCAATGATGGAGCGGAAGTGACTAGAGACATGCAGGAAGCCAGAGCCAGCTGGGAGAAGGTGGTAGGTAGTGAAGTGGGGGTCAGAGAGGAAGGGCATGACGTGATTTGCACAGGAAGTCACAAGGAGTATTACGTTCCAGATTCAGACAGGGAGCACATAGAGGGCATTACAATTATGAAAGGATTCATTAAGGTGGGTGGAACAGGCTGTTTCCACTTATTTGTTGAGTCCAAAATGAGGGGTATGGGATGGGGGGTTTGGGGGGTAGAAATACAAGATACGAGTTGCAGACCTACAAGGGAGTTCTTCACACTGAGGGTGGTGAGAGTGTGCAACTCGCTGCCAGGAGACTCGATGAATACATAAGGGAGAGAGGAGGAGAGGGGGAGGTGGAGGAGAGTGCAGGGCATAAACACCGGCATGGACTAGTTAGTCCAAATGGCCTGTTTCCGTGCTGTAATGTGAATGAATGCCACACTATAATAATAATAATAATCCTTGCATTTGATATCGTGCCCTAACATGTCTTCAGGACGTCTCAAAGTGCTTCACAGGATATACTGTAAAGTAATGTTTGTGTACTTTGTGGATTTACAAAATAAATTCTGTATTTGAACAGTGAAGACGGATAATGACAGGCACATGATCCTGGCAAATTCACTGATCGGTGAAAGCAATGTGGATAGTGGGGATGAAGAGCAGGAGCAAGAGAAGCAGCAAATGGAACTGGAAGGTACCTGCCTTTTGTCCACTCAATATTTCTGTGTGAGGACGTCAGGTTCAGAAGCAATTTAAATTTGCAAGGCAATGGGGAAAGAGTGGGAGAGTTGGGTATCTCTTTCAAAGAGCCCGCACAGGCATGATAGGCCAAATGTCCTCCTCCTGTGCTGCAGGGTTCTATGATTCTAACTGGACAAAAACAAATTACAGATTTGAGCAAATTCATTTAATAATGTAATACTTAGCGACATGCTCAGCATTTAATCACATCGGCAAATGTGCTGGAGAAACCGCCCCCTCCCACCTTCTGTGGTGTGTAAATCCTCTGCTAGCCCTGTGTGTAATGGCAAAACAGGACAAGCTAAACATCTGGCTTCAACTCTTTAGAATCTGGACTTTGTATAACTTGAAGGTTTGCCTCGGGACGCTCTCCTTGTTTGGTTTTTGTTCATTTGTGTGACTGGCTGCACAAATTAGTTTCACCTTTGGGGGCATGTTTAGATATGCAGTGAGAATTCCCTCCCCCTTTCCCATTTTCCCCCTTATTATCTCTCCTCGCATTTCTTCCTCCTCCCACCCACTCCCCTATCTTACTTCTCCCTCCCTCCCTCCTTCTCTCACTCCCTCTCCCCTCCTCATTGAATTGAATTAAATTAGAATTGAGGATCAGATCAGCCACGATCCAATAGAATGGCGGGACAGGCTTGAGGGTCTGAATGGCCTACCCCTGTTCCTATGTGCCTATTGTCCCAGTCTAATAATTGACCAATTTCAATGCAGTACTAGTTGTTTTTACAAAAAACAGAAGTCGCTGGGAACACACAACAGGTCAGGCAGCATCTATGGAGCGAAGGGATTGATTGTAGGGACCCGAAAGGTCTGGCCTGCTGCGTGTTCCCAGCGATTTCTGTTTGTATTTCAGATTTCTAGCATCTGCAGTGTTTTGCCTGTTGCTATTTGTTTAGTTCAGTGATCGGAGACGTTTCACAGACTCTGATTCTATTCAAACAGCGTCCCAGAGGGTTACAAGCTGAGCGGATACCTCATTTCTGAGCAATTCACGGATAGAGTACATCTTTGTGGTTCCCTCTGTTTTTTCCGTATCCTGATTCACTGATCTGAGTTTGTTTTTTGAATAAGGAGGAGGAGAGCAAAGCTTCGAGTGTGGATTGGGTCTCGGAGACTGTTCTATTGCTCCGCAGTGAGCGAATTGTTTACTGCTCTAAAAACATGAGCAGGCTGATTGTCAGCGACATGTTTCTCTTGGAGCATCTGCTCTTCCATTCTGTTTGATCCAAGGTAAACCGCATTAACGCTCCCAATCATGTGTCACAGCGTTAATTAGCTTGAATCAAATGGAAAAGAAAACATCAAAAGAAAAATCCAAATGTTTATTCTATTGTATATTTTTACAAAGGAGCTGTGTTGTATTGACTGATGGTGATTTTTATTTTAACTTACAAACTGACCAACTAAAATTATTTAGCCTCAAATTCTGCTGACCCTGAACAGTGACCTCACCTCTGCTGTTGACTTTAAGAGGAGCTGAAAGTTTTGTTCCTGATTAACTTTCTCTATTCTCCCACAAATACTACACTCTGCAGTATATTCCTTGAAGTGCTTTGCAACGTCTGGGAGGAGTGAAAAGCGTATATCAAATGCAAGGATTATTATTATTATCTTACAATAATAATAATCCTTGCATTTAATATAGTGTTTTTATGTCAGGAGGCAGTGCCAAAACAAGCCTTCACAGTATTTACTATAAAGTGTAGGGAGTGTTTTGTGTGTAAACACCGCAGCCGATTCAGACTTAACAAACTCCACCGTGGTGTCTGAACTGACAAGCCCCTGGATAAAATTGGCCATTGACTTCATGGCTGTTAGTAGAACGTTGCTGCGCACAGACAGACTGCCCCGTTCAACACACAATCACTACAATTCACATTGGATCCTTTGAGACGTCCTCCTGGCGTGAAAGGTGCTGTAACAAATGCCAGCATTATTTTATGGTGTATTTTAGCACTGTGCTTTTCTCTGTAAAGCAGAAAGGGGTGCTTGTAATCCAACCAGCCTCTGGTGTCTTCTGATATGTCGCAAATGCTGTTTCTTGCCTATTCCTGCAAGACTAAGCTGTGTTGTTGCCATATCAAGTTAAGAGAAGCCTTGAATGCCCAGCGAGCTGCTTCAATCAGATATGGTCCAAGATATGATAAATTATTATCTTTGTTGCGAGTCCAAACATTATGACACGTGTTCCCTATGACGGAGAATTTCAATCCTTTATGAGGTGTAATCTTTCCGGGGTTGGTGGTTGCACATGGTGCAAATACCTTGCCTTCAACTGAGAGATAATTATATGTGACGCCACCTTTGTGAAAATGTATTTCAGGAAACGTAGCATTGTTTACAGACTCGCAATGCATTGAAGAACAGTGGTGTCAAAATGTTTCATCTCATTTGCATGTGCGAGCATTATTTATATAAATTCAAATGGCAAGCTATGTGATTTAGCTGGTTAGATTCCAGCAGTTACCCCAACACACACTCTGGGGTCCCCGAGCCTTGCCAACCTGTGCCTAATACTCTCCAGAATTAGGTGAGCAGGATGTGTCCCTCCAGGGAGAGAGCGCGCGCATTCCATTCCAAAAGTATGTCTCTGGGATTTCTATGTGTAGGTGGGATGTATGTGATTCTCAGTTTAGTTTGGATACTCTTTAAGTATGGTGAAGGGTTTCTGCATGTGTCAGACCCCCGGCTGACCAAGATAAAAAAAATCTAAATTTAGTGTCTTCAATTTTTTTGTCAAATTTTCTCCCCACTGGCAAACTCTTCTCCACTCCTGATCTGGCCTGCTCTCTCTGGGGTGAAAGTCCACATGTGCTGATTACCCTCCTGTATCCCCTGTCCCCCTGCCCGCCCCACCACAAGTGGTCCGCTGTTCAGGTGTGAGCTGTGCCAGTGAGTGTTAGCAGCACCACTCGACTTTAAAGGCTGTCACAGTCGAGCCTGACCTCTCCTCATCCGGCTGCCACACATGCGCACAACGGGTAGAGGGTGCTGTGGAGGGACCAGGGATAGAAACACTGGCTGGTTGCACCCCCCCAATTCCCTCCCACCCCTTCAATGGAAGGTCAAAGGGAGCTAATTCAGCCCTCTCGCTGAGACCAGCAAATGATTTTTGTTCTTTGATGGCTCTCTCCCATCAGTAAAAAATTCACATCTTGTGTTATTAATTAGAGATGTCGTCCAAGGCTCTTGCATTGGCTTTATCTGTATGCAAATTACAAGACAAGTTTACATTGATACATTGCCATTGCTAAGAAGAGAGATCATTGGGAGAGGACAGACCCGGAGGTGCTGTCTATGGAACGAGATGCTAAAGCGAGATCCAGTCTATGCCTATTTGGGTATTTAGTTGGACATTGAAAGAACCTCTGGCCCTACTCAAAGAGACATGCATTCCAGTTACTCACACACAGTGAGCCACAATGCAACTCATGCTCATACCACCAATTAATAATAATAATTCTACATTTGCTAGAGAGACTCTCATGTAGGGAGGTCATCCAAAAGCGCTTCAAAGATCTTCTGTAAAGTGGATTGATTTTGTGTGTATTTGTGGGCGAATGCAGCAGCCAAGTTGCGCACAGCAAAACCTGACGATTGGAAGCTGCAGGGCAGGGGTGTGGTAACTTTACAGAGGCAGCTTTGACTGATATGTTGATTGGGCAGATTGATTGAGCGATGAATAATTTAAACCTTTGCTGAGATTAAACAAGTTATGGTTAAGTATGTGCTGCAAGGCTATTACGGCTCTGGCTTTGAAACTCCTAACTTGTTTTTTGTCCCATTTCCATGTTACATAAAGTTCCCGACTCTACTAATATCAGACTGTTGCTGCTGGGGCGCTGGTTATAAATGCACTAACTCGGGAAAACATCAGGAATTTTATCTCCATGATTAAGGCTGGTTTGGATTTTTACAAAAGTGTGGCTTAGAAACATTCATCAGAACACTAGGATTTGTTCAAAGCTTGTTTAGTCGCTTAAAAAACTTCAGGTGTGCTATTCGACAGAGATAGTGGAAACTTAAGTGCTGCAATTTCAAGTGGGATTTCTTAATAACTTGCACTTCACACAGAAACTACCGAGAAAGGTGCAGTACAGAAATGGGCCTTTCGGCTCAACTAGTCCATGCCGGTGTTTATACTCCACACAAGCCTTAGCCCTGCTATTCCCCTCTCCTGCACCCCTCTATTCCCTTCTCCCTCATGCAGGCATCAAGTTTCATGTGAAAAGACTCGGGAGCGCTTTACAAAATGGGGATGAAGTGAATGTTTTTATATTGGCAAATGTAGCAGCTAGGATCCGTAAATGACAATGAGATGAGCAGACAACTCGTTCAAGGTCTGTCTCAAGAACATACCTCTTTGACTGCACTTTCAGTCACCTTTTCCCTTCAGCAACCCACGTCTGGTTCGGGTGCCAAGCCAGCTGCTTCGGACGTCATCCTGACATGAAATAATAATAATCCTTACATTTGATGTAGCGCCTTATGTCTTTGAGACGTCTCAAAGTGCTTCACAGAATATACCGTAAAGTGAATTGACTGTATATTTTGTGGATGAAACACAGCAGCCAATTGTGCACAGCAGCGTCCCCACAAACAGTCGGTGGATTGAGTGACCAAATTATTATTTTTAATATAAATTTTTTGAATGGATTATTACCCCTGGAAAAGCGATCTACAATCAACTAACAACCGGGTTCCTACTTACTACTAGGTAAACAGAGGCATGTGTGTGGAGTAAGAAAACTTGCCTAACGTTTCGTCCTGCCCGGGAATCGAACCCAGTTCCTCTCTCACATGCGAGGCGAGCGGGCTAACCACTAACCACTAAGGTCGACCACGCTATCCTCCTCCACCGCTTGTCCTCCCACCTCAACCTTCAAGGCCCTGTCCTTGAGTGGTTTAGGTCGTACCTCTCCCAGCGTCTTCACTTTGTTTCCA